GTTCCTTGCGATGAATGATCTCGTGTGTTTATGGTGCTATTTGAAATTAGCCAGTAAAGGAAAAATTAAAGGAGTATCCTCCATCCCCTCAACATTTAAGACTCAATACAATCTTTGTCAACTACTTTCAACGTTGAATGCCTTTGCCTTTCTTAGGGTGTGAAATTTCTTAATCATCATTATTAATGCTTACTTACACTAATGCTCAAAGGAGCAAGGCAGGATCTTATTCTCACTTTACACATCTCAAAACCTTGAACCGAAAGTACTAATATACCAAACTCATATATATGTCCTCATTATATAGATTGACCACTCATCTAAAACCTTAATGGACCCTCTTTTGTAGATATTTGACTGTGTTAAATTATGCATGCATTACCATATCTAATATTTTACTATATCATTAAATTGTTCATGACTATTAATTTGTGCTTACTTTGAACCTCAAACCACCTGTGCATATGTATGTTTGTGACCAGAATGTAAATTATAAAACATGCATAAAAAAGAAGTCATGTTCATATTATAACATTATTTCTGTAAAATAAATCAACATTTATCATACGGTACTATCAATCTCATGTATGTGCTTCTCATATATGACAACTCAACTTCATATGTACTATGATTTCAAGTTAATTATCACCCGATGTTGTTCATATGTGGGTATGTAGCACGGGTCAACATAAGACTGGTGGTGTGGATAAACATTGCACCAAAGCCTTGGCACCAAGAATGATGATTAATAATTAATACTATTATTATGCGAAAAGCGTTGCCTTCCAACACAATTAATACGCGCTACAATTATGAAATTGATCTCATGGTACAGCACTCTCAAGCAATTGACCTTAGAGTCACAATCAATGAAAACTAGTCTCAGCAAACAAATTTTATGGTGTAGGGTTCTTGAAATGGACAAGGGGTTCGCCTCACTATGACAGCTTCCATCATCTAGCACTACTCTTTTTCTACCTTGGAAAAAACATTGGGGCCCTCCAAGCATGAGAAAGTTATTTTCCATCCCCCCACTTTGAAGTGCAGAAGGCCCTTTTCGACCAACCACTTCTAAGTTTTCCCTTTTCCCATGAGTATGAGTAAATCATCCATCACATATTCTCCACTATTGAAGTTAAAAGGTCCTCTTTTGAATGAATAATATATTAAAAAGAAAATAAGAAGAAAAAAGTAAAAGGGTTTTTTCTTTGAAAGCCAATTGTCAAGCTATTAGAACTCATCCACCACTGATGAAAATTTTCCATCATCCAATTAATCTCTTTCTTTCACCACAGGAACCATTACAAGTGAAAAGGGGAAGCCAATAATTTTTTGAACTCTTTTTCCCCTTGATTGCATTACAGCTTATCCGTCAATAGAATATGAATTAGTGTTGCCTATAGGTTATCATATCTACATCGATCAATCCCATGGATTATGTATACCTTAAAAGATGGTCTGATATATATACATATATACTGGAAGCTGACCCTTCCACTTGAAATTCTTGAATTGACCTTCTATCTTTCGGATGGTCATTTTGTACTTTATTTTTTATTCTATATTCTCCGAACCTTAGCTGTTTCTATATCCATCGAATTTAGGTTATATGACAAGTGGGCAACTCATTATCATAAATTTAATATCAAGCTTTATTTTTTATTCTTCTGAAGTGAAAGGTTGTTAGATGGACATTTGCTTTTTTTCCTCTTGAACTAATTAAGTAGTTTTTAATTGGTATTCTATTTCCAATAAATGGAGAATACGAAATTTGCACAATCTATTTTAATAAAATAAATACTCCTTCAATGATATCTCGTTCATAATGATGCACTCTTTATGATTGCATTATTTTCTTTTCTACCCAAATTGAGAATGAATGGCTAATATATATTTTGGATCAACATTATTTTAGGGACTTTAGTGTTTGTCTTATCATCAATATTGAAAAGCAAAAGCGATTCTATTTATGAGTATTTGCCAAAACCCGAGTTATTATTGCAACAAAACAATTGAAACTAGAACGTGTCTTTCCAAATGGATCGCGTCCAACTTACTTTTATGCATTTCACCCTTTTCTATTATTAAGTTAAAACTCACTTGTCTTTCGAAAAATTAGGGATTGAAGCTAGCTCAGTTAATGTAGATGAGATTTCCAATATTTTGAATAGTCTATTTTGGACTGAAAAGATCACTTACTTCTTGTTTTTGCCTTGGAGGGTCATTAAATTCGCACTAGTTGATGGTGATATTTGTTCTTTAATTCATCTTTGAGATTGAAACAATATCCAGCATAAAGTTCTTTGGTAATAGCTTGTTGTCGAGTTTCGATTGAAACTTTTTTTCCCCCTCCATTTCCCTCGAAGAATAGTTCTTTTAATGAAAGTACTATGTTGAGGTCTAAAGAATAGTACCTTGGGAGTATGGACCACAACCACGTCTAAACGCTTAGGCCATTTGTACCCTTTCTTTTCAATTCCATGATAGAGCTCACTTTTTCAGCTCCTGTGATCATACTTCAAAGAAAATCCAATAATAAGTTAAAAATCATATTTGTTTCAAAGAAAAAAAATAAATTGAAGATGATTTCTCTCCAGGGTACGTAATAATTCCTGTGGATACTTACATTCTTATATTCCTTAAGAAGTTGTTGTGTAAGATAACATTTTGTCGCGCTTTTTTCTTTTATTCATATACGTAAATTGTGTACGTAGCTAGCTTACATATTACGTCCAATTACAAAGAAGAAGACCAGTTTCGATAAACTTAATAAAAAAATACTCACAGAAAAAAGATAAGAAAGTAAAATAAATAATTTTTCTTATAAATTAAAATAAACTTATACGCTCGTATTTTTGAAAAAAAAAAAAACTTCTAAAATGATTAAGGTAGATAATAAATTGATTTAAGTTATTGTATAGATTTTATTTATTTGTTTATCTACACCTGGTCTTTTGTTTGTTTGGTCAACATCTACACCTAGTCCAAAGTTCATAAAATTGTAGACAACGTCTAAAAATATTGTAGAGTGGGTTTTGGGACATGCCTGGGCTAAAAATTTGACCTTTGCACGAGGGTTGGGTTAACATAAGTAAACTTATTTAACGTCCACATATCATTCAATGGGCGATACATAAATGAACAAATTATTAGGAAAACACTAATCAAAATGACCAAGAAAATAAAAAGAAAAGCAGAGATCAACAAATGAACGTCGTAGCAAAATCATCTGTGGATATAATGAGTAATATAATATAGTTTACAGAATCATACACATTTAATTGTTAATTTTAATTTTAATTAATGTCAATATAAGCAGTCATCATCAAACAATTTCTCATCTACTTCGGGCATATGGCCCCTTTTTTTCAGACAAAAAAATCAAATCATTGAATCCATTTTAGATCCTATTTCATGTGACACTTATTATGAATAATTCCTCAACAGTGTTTGTTTTTTTCGTACAACTATTCCAATAATATATGATGGGATTTTGCACAATTTAGGTGTGGATCCTTTCATGCTCCCAAACAACACTTGCAGCATGATTAACTGGCCCATTTAACTCCCTCGACATCTTAGAGTGGATCCATTTTCGACCCAACAAAAAACAAACAGAACAATAGGCTGGGTCCTATCAAAGCTTAAAGAGCAAGACCAAATCCTCGAAACTTGCATGCATATAAGGAAGAACACTTGAGCGAGGCAAGAATCTTGAACCTTTTTAACACTTAACGTGAACCCCGAAGGAAGATCAAGTTTTTGTACAATGTTAGATTTCTTTGTCATCACGACCAAAAACAAAATGAGTTCTTAGTGATGAACTAAAGTATTATTCATCTTAAAAGATAAGGACATGTAATTTGTGAACTGAAAACAAAGAGAAGGATAGTTACGTACTCAAAAGTTCAATGGAACGAAACACCAATAAAGGTAGGTGAATTATTAATTTTACCATCTTCTATGAAAGAGTGTGATATGTTCGAATAACAAAGATGAGAAAACTTTCTTTTTCTTTTTTTTTTGCATTTTTTTGGTGTGTTGAATATATTTTATTTCCTAAATATACAAATGATAATTTTACGATGTTCTCAAAATTGAAAAAGTATTAAATTGTGATCAATTTGAATAAATTTTACAATAAATTTAAAAAATAAAAAAATTAAGAAAACAAAATAAATTAAACTGCTTCTATAAGTTAAAGTTAACTTACATATGTTTAATCTTGTAGAGAAGTTAGATGAAAAAAATTCTAAAGAATTTGATATGCATAAATTAATTTTAACGTAAGATAAAAGTTTGTCTCATTATTTAATCTCTTTGATCCATTTTATTTATTTAAAAAATTTTCTAAACTAGTTCTAATTATTTTATAATGCTATTATATAAGTGTCATATAAAATGATGACTTATAATTATTCGTATAAGACTTTTAACCACGTAAACACGCATGCTTTCATGGAAATACTATATTATATAAGTAATTTACCTAAACTTGATCTTGATCTTGAACTTCAAGTGATCAAAATAATAATTAAGAGATGGTTCCTTCTATAGTTCCATGTAATGAACTAATATTAGTGGACTCAAAACTGAAAAATATATTCTTCTCTTACTACTTTCTCAGAATCCAGGGAAAAAATAACAAAGATAATTCTTTAATTCCCGACCTTCAACTACTAGAATCCCATTCCCCATTTATGCTTCACCAGATCGATTCTAAACTTGACCAAGTATTTTATAAATTATAATTAATTGCTAGAAGACTAGAACCAATTAAAACCAAAATTCAAAGTAAATATAGTACATGTTGCATTTAATGAAACCCATGACATAAAATTCTGAAGAACAAGCATCTTTATTAATAATGAAGAACGTAAACCGTTCAATATGTTTAAGTTGTCTCCAGAACTTGCACAAAACATATGATCAACACTTGTGACAATCATATAGGTACTAAATCGTAATCCAAAATACAAACCAAGTGTATAACTTCTTCACATGTAAATGATATACATCTCAATGGGACATAATTTTAAAACTAAATGATTTATTGAACCATGCCTTCCACCCACTACCATTCTTTGGAGTCGCAAGCTCTGATTGTGGTTCTGTCTTTGATGGGTACACATGCTTTTTGCACAGCACAAAATTCCTCACCCCAAAAGATCCTATGGGTTCCAATGGACTCAGAGCTATCAAAAGAAGTTACACAAACAGAATAACCTTTTAGTAAAGAGAACCAACACTTTATAAGATATTGTACGAATGTACTGGTTGGTGTGTATATCAAAGGCACAAGATAAAATGAAATGGAGATATTCAATAACTAGTTTTAAAACAAAATTTGTCCTAATTTCACACAAAAAGTACACAAAAAAGAGTTGAACATGTTCAAGTGTGAACAAAAAATTCCAACAAATAAACATGAAGAGAAAACAATGTAATTGAATAATTTTATTAACATTAATCGTCATTATTTTCTAGTAATTAGAAGTCAAGAAAATTTGCTACATTAAAAATCATTTCTTATACTTTTTTATATTACAAATGATTTTATTATAAGACTTCATTATTTTCAAGTGAAATTAACAAAACCCATGAATGAAACATTTGCCAATGTGAAACAGAGGACATGAAAACATCATAGCAGGAAGTAACACCCAATTGACACACACATGCATCTGGGATTTTGGATCCATCATGCAAAGACATCAAAATAACAAGAGTTCAGTTGGATACACCAAATGAAATGGGAATAACAATTTTTTGAAATGGTAGAGAAGCATACCATCAAAGCCTGCGTTTGCACAATAAAGAAAGAAATTGGTGGCATCAAAGCCCAAAACAGGAAGCCTCCCTTCTCGAGCATAGGATTTGAGAGCAGTGTCAATGACCCTAGAAACAAGCTCTTTCTCACTCACCACAAACCTTATGGGTCCTGCACTACCCAATATGTTGATGGTCACCAAAAACCTATTGATCCTTCCTCTCTGATTATCCTCCTTGCAATTTCCCTTGTTCTTGTTCTTCAGCAATACCATCTTCTCCAAAGCACAAAAAGGTGTAAACAAGTTGTTCAAGGATCAAGGCCAAGGCAGCGATAGTACCAAGCGGTTTTGGAGGATCCAAAGGAAGAGGGAGAGAGTGTCTGAAGGGTTGTCCCACAAGATGAAACAGTGAGGAAGAGCATGAAAGGAAGAGATATACACAAACCCAACATTCAAGGCACAGTTAAGAGGGTTGAAGAAGAATGCATTAACCACACGTCAGAAGAAGAAGAACCACTTGGACCATGAACTTGTATGAGCCTGCACTGAATGCTTCTCTCTATATATTCATTTCTCCCCTTCTATTTCATTAAATTAATTTTATTTAAATACACTTTCAATAGTTTTTAAGTAACATCTCATTATTAGAATAAAGTGGTACAATAAAATATCACATAACACTTATTAAAATAAAATAGTACAGTAAAATAAAATATAATTGAATTTAAATATATTTATAATATAAAAAAATTTATATTATCATTTAATTATAAATAATCATGTAAAAATTATTAATTTTTAAAATAAATAATTTAAAAATTATATTTATTGTGTAATTGAACTTATTGATACACTAGAATCAAAATCATAAAATATTACATGTTTATATTATAAAAAATAATTAGTAAAAAAGAATAAAATTTAAATAATTTTTTTCACTCTTTAATATGAACAAAAAAAATTGGCACGCACTACTAGGATAATTTCTTTTTCTCAAAACACTATATTGTACCTAATTTTATACCACTCTCGTTAATATACGCATATGTGTATATTATATATATATATATATATATATATATATATATATATATATATATATATATTATTTTTGTTTTTTATTTATCACTTAAATTTTTTAAAATTATTTTAAAAAAATTTACATCATAATTTGTATAAAAATTATATTTAATTTTAGCTTTTTATTAATTATATTTTTGTCTTTTAATTTAGACAACAAATATTTTCTACTAAAAATAATTGTACTCTAATCGAATATAACTGTTATAAATTTTATTTATTAACTCTAAAGATTATATATTTTATGAATTAATGTGCTATTAAATTACCAAAAAAATTGTGATTTGATCTCGTTAAATTTTAGATTTTACAATAATTAATTATTCATGTTACAATAAATGTGTAAAGTAATTAAGATTTTTATAAAGGATATAGTGTGTTTTTTTTTTTTTACATAGCACGAAATATCTTTTTGATAATCCTTTAAAAAATATGTATTTATTAATAAATGAAAAATATAAAAAAGTTAGCATAAATCAAATCATGCATTTTTAATACAATTTTCGTGACATGAAAATCGTACCAAATAGTATTTTATTTTTTAATTGATATTTTTTGAAATATTGGTTAACGTTTCTTACTTCTCTACACTTTTTTCATTTATTCTTTGCTTTTGGAATCTGTACACTTTTAATGAAAAACATGGGCTCAAATAAAAATATGTGATTTAGATTATTATGTTCTTTTAACAAATCAAAATTAATTACAATTAAATTTAAATAAAAAAACACTTAAAGATTAATTTAATTACTGAAAGTGTGTTATGTTGACAACAAATTAAAGGTGAATTGAAAAATATATTAAAATGTTTTATTTAGTTTAATTCTAAATAAATATTTTTAAAAAAATATTTTTAAAAATTAAAAAGTAAATAAATACTTTTATAAAATAAGTCGAACAAAATATATACTGTTTCCAGAATTGGTCTAATGCATGTTTAAGCCTAAATAACTTATATTTTTATATAAAAAATAAATAAAACCTTTTTAAACTAATTAATATACTAGTGGGGACGACAACTTGCTTTTATTTAAAACCTACCATTCTAACCTTTTGAAAATTAAATGATCATAATAGACAATTAATGCTTATAGAAGTCAGTATTTTCATGATTTGATAAACTATTAATTCAATTTATTTCACCTGGCTCGACTCAATGTCAACAGAGACTTTATATAGGTTCGATAAAAAGTTTAAAGTTATTTATTTTTTAAAATGGTAGCATAAATTTGATAATAAAGTTTAAAGTTATTTATTCAAGCATTAGATTGAATTGCCAAAATCCTATTTTAACAGTATATTTAAGTTACTCTATATTGTCAACTCAAATTTTAAAAAATGAAAATGTTAATATTAATTTTTAGAATTGAGTTTAAATATCTAAGTTAATATTTTGTAATTAAAAAATATATCTATTAAATGTGTTCTTTTGAATAAAGTTTTACTGGTTTTGAATCTCTAAACTTAGTTTTAATAGTTGAAGTTAACAAACATTTTAATAATAATGTTAAATAATGAAATGTGTTAATTAAGATTACTGTGATGAAAAAATTAAACTAATATGATGATAAGATAGTTATTAGTTAAGAAATAATCATAGTAAAATAAGGCCTAAAGTCTTGTAGAAGATGAGGGCTAAAGTCATTGCTTTGTTGGTCTTACCATGTGGCAAGTAATGACTATATCAGTACAATTATTTAAATTGACATTATTTTATTTGATGAACATAGTTTTGCACTGTTTATTCTTTATTTTTATTCATAAACACATTTGCCCAAGTTAGCATCTACCTCTTAAATATTCCTTTCTTTGAGTTTGAGGAGAAGATGGTAACACTTAGCATTTTGTTTTTCAAATTTGACCCGGATAAAATGATTATAAATAATAAAATTCTCTTTACTTAATTTCTCTTGTGTTTGGATGCACAATTTTTTAATATTTTATGAATAAAATTTAACTATAATTGTTTAAATATTATTGATGATATTTATTCCTTTTCTCTGTTAAGAAAAAGTGACAATTAAAGCACAACTGACCACCGTTCAATTTGTAATTTAGTAGGTGACATTATTTGTAATCTTAATTATTTTTTATTCAAGAAGAACAAAAATATATTTAATTATATATTTATGTAATAAAATTTTAATATAAAAATTATTTTATAAATATGATCATAAAATTTCTTAAAATAAGTTAAAGAATGATTCTGATAAATTATATTTAAAAAATTATTAAATATTTTAAAAATTTATAGATTATTTTTGTAAGCTCTTTAAAACACTACATGCTTAGTTTTAAAAAATTGTTTGTATGCATGACCAATACCAATAAAACTCAACGCAATTTATACATAATTTTGTCATTTTAGGCACACTAATAAAAATTTAATTCTTAACTAAATATTGTGTAGGAAAAAAATTGTCAAAAGAGATAAAACTCAATATAATAGGATTTACGGCTCAAAAGAAAAAATCTCCAATGTTGGCTAAAAAATTTTAAAAAAGGTTTGCGTGCATAGCTATCCCACCCACTATGTTAACTCTAATACGATATTGTCACATTAATAATATAGAAAAGCGTGTAATAGTTTATACATATCCGTCAAATCAAACTGCATAATAGTATTCCTACATTTCTCTTCCACAAAATTACCCCCCTTTGTGTTTGACATTGCACTGACAACAACTGACTATTGATATACATATACAAGTTCTTTTAAAAATGCTCCTAAACCCAGTTTTTATCAACTTCATAAATGTGACTTTAAAAAATATTTTTTTTTTAGCATAGTCAATCTTTTCCAAGCATGTATTTGAAATGAAATTCTGAATACCCAACAAGGTCCAACATCAATTGATAAATAATCAAGTCTAATTCTTAATTGTATTTATGAAAAAAATTTCATTAAAAAAGATAATATCTACATTTGTGATTTGCCTATCAGCTATTAACTGGGGTATAGCCTTAGTTCACAACCAAAATAAAATTACAGGCCAAAAAATGTTCATATGTAAATGAGTTCTAGTAACATACTCCAACACCCAAAAAGTATTTATGGGTATATATACCAACCAAAGAAAATTTACATAACTTCGAGAAAATAACACCCAAGTTCTGCTAATGTATCTGTTACAGTGTTGCTAGGATTGAAAATACAGATCATTACTCAACAACTAACAAATTATTTTTCGTTAACCCTTCACCAACAATAGGGAACTCTGTTGACAGCTGCCATTCACCATCTACTAAGAATTTGATTTCATACCTACATAATAATTTTTGTTTTTGGATTAGAAAAGGACTCAAGGTTATAAGTCAGTTCAAAATATTTCAGGGAGTAGATAAAAATGGTACCTTCCAGGCCTAAGCATCAATGTTGTTGAGAACCTTGCATAAGAACCTGTATACTCAGGAGAAAGGTGCTCCCCTTGGCTCCAGCCATCAAAATTGCCCATAACTTGCACGCTCTGATGGAAAATAAAGTTCACACAAGCATTTTAGGCATTAGCATACACTTAAAATTTATGAAACCACCCTATTGCATAATGCTGCATTCATGAACAAATGTTATATCCTAAACATTTAAAGCAAATGTTTGGTGCTGGAGAACAAATTTGTAAATATTAATATAGGCCCAATTTGGATAAACTTATCAAATAGTAATTATAAAAGTAAAAAATTAAGTAGTAAAGTGAATCAAACTTCTTTCATAAGTTAAGATTAACTTATGTTTCTCTATTTTTTTAGGAGTTTTCTCATTTAACTCTAAAAATTGAAAAGATAAGTTTCTTTTAACTTATGAGAAAAAATTTATTCATTTTTCATGTTAATTTTCTTATCTTATAAAGACTTATCTAAAAATTTATCCAAACTAGGTCATACTCATTTGAATCAGTTTATGCCAGCAAGGATGTAAATATGCTTAATGATGTACATTTTGCTAGAGAAATCAAAATTCATTTTGAAATATAGACAATAGACATAAATTTTTTGGCATCTCTTCATATAATAGAACTTTTTGTGGGAATAGCAAGGAGGGAGAAGAAATAGGAAATATAGAACTTTCCTAGTTAGTTGCATCAGCTGATTCAATTATCTTCATAACATTAGCTATAAAGAGCTATATATTGAAATTTTGAGAGCACTATATACAGAGTCATTGATGTAAGAAAAACACAGTTCCATGATTCAAATTGTCAAACCAAATTCTCATTGAATATTTGGAAGTTTAATCTTGAATATGTTTACCTCAGCCATGCCAAACCAAAAAACAGAAACCTCCTTCGATTGTGCCACATCAACATCCTTTATTTGTTCCTTCAATTGTTCATTCACCGCTATAGAGGCAAAAACAAAGCATTTGCACAAATAAAGATCCAAGAGGAATCATTGGTAAGAATAACATCGCTGTGAAGTTTTATTAGTTTATTCCACATTAAAACCAATACATAGTTTTGTCCATAAGTACACTTGAACCATACAGGGATGGCCCTAATCATGTGGATTAAAATTGATCAGGACAAATAACATTATACCTTCTAATCTAGCAACAAGGTGAGAGTGAATGTACTTTCCATTGATCTTCCGTGAACCTTCTGGAATACCAGATTGAGCTACTTCTTCTGCTAGTCTGACCAAAGCCTGAGTCCAAGGTAAACAGTATCTTAGCTCTATGATTCTCAATTGAAGTTTGAACAATTTTATTATTCAACAAACGAATTCCAGTTAAGTAAACTAGTGTCTTGCCTATTAAAAGTAACAACAATGCATGTTTACAGAGCTCAAAAAATGATTGGGTAGAGACTTAAACTATATCTCTGTTAAATGACATTCTTTTACTTATTGTTATCTTATTAGTATAATATAGCTTTTAAAAGTCCCATCAAATCAATTTAATTGTTGAAATAATTACATATCTAACAATCAGTAGCTGTATATCCTCAGATACCAAATTTGACATTATGTTTGAATTAATTAGTTCAATATCATAAAAGCTTTAACAAAATTTTAGATTAATATTCTTCTCCCATTTCATTTTTACCCACAAACTGTGTTTAACTAATAAGATTAATAACTTGTACACAAACTTTTGAGCAATTGAAATGCTAAAAACTGTATCCTGTGATAACATGATTTGTGTTTTCAAATGCAATGACTTGAAATTCTTGACTTCTTACGACAAAAGGCTATAGCACTACAACAAGCACACTGAATGGAGAAATACACGAGGTGCTGATTCTGTGCATAAGGGGATTGGAAGAGATAAACCACTACCAGTCCTATAATTTCATGATTCAATTCCCAAAAGAATAAAACTGTATTAAGATACAAGCATAGTCATGAAAGATATACTCATTCAATTATAAAGTATGAAAACTGTTAGTCAGCAAAATGAAACACAGAAATGTTGGCAGTATAAAAATAGCATAAAAAGTGAGAAGGTGGCAATAAATTTTAACCTGAATTTCAAGCTCCATGTCAGCAAGTTCACTTTTAAATTTTACCAATGCGTCCTCCTTTACATGCAACTGTAGAGAGAAAGAGGCCAGTATAGGATCTCAGTGCAGGGCCTATGCCATTTATACATCTTCCAGTCTATCTTCTGACTACAGCATCTAAAATTACTATAAAATATCCCCACTCCCAATGGTTCATAATATATAGAGAAATCAGCATGAATTCAATAATAAAACCCACGTCCACCCTGCACCAAGGCCCTGATCCCAAAATAAAGAAAACAAAATAGAAAAAGGCTGAAAATTAGAAGGATCAAGCCACTCCAAACACAACATACTACAATTACAGTTGATTACCTGATGCTGAAGAGGAAGAAAAAGAAGAATATCAGACATCAAAGTCTATTGTTAAAACACCCCATCAATATTCATTCATCCATATTATGGCAATCAATATATCAGTCAATGATGATAGGTTTTATGGATGAAAATGTTGTGTGATTTCAGCACTAACCCCTAATGTAAATGGACTATTATAATTATGAAAAATGCAAAGACCAATCAAATTCACGTTTCCCTCCATTTAAGCAAATATTCCAAATGCCATGCCATCCACGTATATCATGCTTTCCAGTTGATCCATTTCTTTTACCAGCAATAATTATCTTGTTTTATTGACATTATATACTCAACAAGATGCTGCTATATCAGATTGATTGACTAAACTCATCGAATAGGGATAGTATTGACATCCAACACATCTTCTATCCATAGATCTATCAATATTTTCTATTGGTCTAGGACAACCGGTATCTAGATACCACATTCGGCATCCAATCGAGATCGAGTCAAGCACAACCATAATGGGCATCCAATCTGGATCTATCTATAGTTTGGCTCAAACAATATTCACTCATTTTGTATATAAGATTGTGATACAACTCGCTAACTGTTTAGAATTATTATTTTAAACAGTCAAAACAGGAACCATGGTTATTGTACAGAAACAAAACACCCAGATTCCAATTTAATGATAATGTCAAACATTTCAATATAGACACCTGTCTTTTGAGGAATCGATTTTGCATGTTGGCTTCACTAAGTTTCTTGGTGAGTTTTTCTCTGTGTGTGTCAGCTAGCAGTCCCATTATCTGTTTAATAAAATTTGAAACAGAAGATCTAAGTATGATGTATTAATCCAAGCTGCATACACAAGAAAAACGGTATCTTCAACAAGTGTGATCAACCTGGCCATAAACATAGCAATCATTTGTTCAAATGTGAGATATTCTCAGCAACCAAACACACAAGTTCACCATATCAAATTCAATCTTAGAACATCATAACTTAACAGGATGTTGATTGTGTACAAGCTTGCCTTTGTTACATGATTCATGGATTCATGGAGCCCTCTTCCCAATTAGTATCTGATAGGAACTGGAAATGAAACTATATTCAACTGGACAAAATGGAGTAACCTCCTTACAACTGGTGTAAGTGTAAGCCTTCAGTAAATCAGAAAGCAGAAACACAGAAATTGGAGAGACCCATTTAAAAAATGGAGTAACCTTACAACTGGTTCAAGCTCATTTTTCTTCCTTTAGAAAGTAATAATCTAACAAACCACAATGTGAGAGACCCATTTAAAGAATAATAATCCATTTGGAAATACACTTCAAAACTTGAAATAGTTTCTTTTTACTAGCTTTATTTTATCCTTACATTTGTCCCAAGTCCATTTATTGTTCTGAATTCCCATCATAGGAGTATGTTAATATATGAAAAATATCTCACAATGTCAATATTATATCTTTGAATATTTTAGGGTATCTAAGATTATATTGTAGGATTAGTTTCCATATTTTAGTTAGGATTACGACATAATATTAATATAAACAAATGTTCATTATGTTTTATCATCACGTTGCATCATATCAAATATCAAATCAATACAAATCTCAATATATTCAGTCTCATCTATCTTCTTTTTCTTCCTCTACACCTTAATCCCTATTATTTCAACACTGGTGTATCGATTTTTGTTCTCTAAGAATACTGTGATATGAGGTTGTGTTCCAAATAAATACAGGCTAACCTCTCATCAGTTAACAAACACCCCAAACTCCAAAGCCAAGAAAAGTAAAACTGGATAAAGGAAATAACACCACAACAGTAAAGGAAGGAATTGATTCTAAGAGTATGTTTGATTTCTGTTTTTAAAACAGTTTTTTGTTTTTAAAAAATAAATTTTAGTACAAATTTGTACTATAATTTATTTTTAAAAACAGAAAACTGTTTTTAAAACAGGAATCAAACATATCCTAAGCCTGTTTATTAATTAGACTCTTCTGACATGAGCATGATAAAGGCACTACAATTCTCTATTTCATAGGTCATCCTCATACTGTACAATAAACATCTTTTCTTAAAGCCAAGGAAAAAGAAAATAGATAGACAGACAGATAAATAAAATTCTCAACAAGGTAGGAATTGAATCCTAGGTCTCGCTCTAACTATCATATAAACCACTTCTAGGTTTATTCTTGCAGAAAACTCAGAAAAAAGTAGAGAAAGAAAGAGATAAGTGTTAAGTGGTTTTAACATCATGAAATCACAAGGTATATCAATGCTTTAAGAGGCACACTAAAATTAATTTTACAACAAAGGCAAGACTCCATTTGCTCTAAAGAAAGAGAAAAATAACATGGTTAGGGCAATCAAATAAACAATTAAGACATATTTACATTTCCAGGTGCTTGAGAAGTTAAGAACATGTCTGTAATCAAATGGCAGTTGTGGATTTCATAAAAGACAAATATGAAGTGAATATAAAAAATACCTGTTCACTGGTAAGTGATTGTGCCAAAGCCTCCTCTTCTGAGTCTACCGATGAATCCTCATCCTCACTATAATTATCTCCAGATTGTAATGACACAGATCCCTCTAAACTAATTGGCATTGAATTTGCTCTACAAATAAAAGGCCCTCTTGGATACACTGAAGTAAAAGCTTGGCAGGAAGAGGCCAATCTGTGAAAGTTCCATCTTGAACTCTGGGCAGGTACATTATATGGAAGTTTCTTAGCGCTTTCCCATCCTATTCTTGAAATATTTGAAAAAAAAGGACCTTGTGTTTCAAGATGACACCTACACAAAATACAGAAGAAACATGATCTCTCAGTCTCAAACCCAACAATAAGGTACGACAATGTAAACAACATCACTAAAAGTAAAGGTTACAACTATAAATCGAAACAGTTATATTCCTTAGTAATTACTGAGAGATAGCTAAAACCAAGTATTATGAGCCCCATTAAAAAAATCCATATTTTCATTTTCTGGAGTTGAGGGAAGGACAATGGTAATGCTTCATACCTTTAAGGTTAATTCACTATTATATCTCATGTAAGCTTACCTTGTAATACTTATTTCCATCATGAAGAGGTTGTTTTTCCCCTGTCAACGACCAAAAGAAAGCAGAACATTAGAATCTATTCAAACAGATACGTTGAATCAACATAATAACACCACAAGACCAAAATGTCAGGATGACTGACCTTGAAGAAAAATATTAAATACATTCTGAATAAGGTGTTTCAAAATAAGTTAATTGGTCAGATTTTGATATTCATATCGTAAACCAAAAGTTAGGAACGATTCAAACGGGACAGGATTTGGCTTCAAAGGTGTAGGGATAACAATACATCACAAGCATCTCAACAGAAATTAAAACTCCAATTCAGGAAAACTACCCACCAAAACATTTTACAGTATGAGAAAGCAGAAAAACAGGCCCACATAGCAAAAGGATGTTGCACACTTTCTGCAGTGTGCTTCCATCCAATATTTTCTTCAGACTAAAGAACTCCAACCAAAATTTATGATTCAAACCAAGTTTCTCAAGGCACATGCTATAAACACAAAACAACACACACAAAAAATATTTCTTAATGGGGCTAATGGATTTAGAACAACACCACAAACAAACAAAAGGGAAATTATCTTCTCTCATGAATCACTTCAATGAGCGGAAAAATGAGCACAAAACCGAACCAAATGCTAACTTCAAGACCAGTCATGATTTGGTGAACACCTAATGGCTGTGCTTTGTTAATACTAAATTGTAAGCATAATAACATAAGAAAATTCAGTATGCAGTATAGCAATTTGACAGATGTCAGCACTTACAGAGAGTATGAAGAGTAGTTCAAACCCTTGTCTTCGCAGTGATGCTTTGTAGTTCAGATCACGACGCCGAGGTTCATGATCATCGTTCACTGCTCTTAAAGATTTCTTTTTCGAGGCCAATAACCTTAGTTTCTGCTTTTGTGGTGAATAGAACACGTGGCGAAGAGGAATGCACCGATAACCAGCACGTGGGTGTTTTGAGTTTGTGGCTGGGCTGCTTCTAATTTCAAAAACCACAAGGCAATTCTATATAACAGCAAAACAACCTTTTTCCTTTCCTAATGTAAAAGGGAATTATAATGAATAAACATTTTTTTTATATTTATTCATTTGATTGCAACTCTTGTATTAAAATTCATTTTTGTATTTTGAGTTTTTAGTCCTATATTTGTGTCCGGTGGAGAAGTTTCCTCATTCCCTTGTTTTTTATTTTATAAATTACAAAATTATAAAGTTAGGTCTTTATTTCTTACAGTTAAACCCATTTTTTAAGTTTTCCACAATAATAATAAAAATTATGTCCTTCATAATTTTATATCCTATTTCATTTTTAACAAAAAAAAAAAAAAGACAAACGCATTAGACAATAATATAAAATAATTCACAATACTACAAAACACTAAATCAATAATAACAATAATTAATATAAATTATAATATCTAAATTGTCACATGTTCCGCTATAAAAATTGACATCAAAAGTCTTGAAAAAATTATAAAATTACAATTATAAATTTTAAAACAGTGAATAATTTGCTAATATAAGATAACACGCTAAGAAATAAATAGATTTTCTATTAAATCAATAAATAATATATACAAAGTTATTAACTTCTTAAATTCGCATAAATTTAAGCCAAAACAGCACCGTCAAAAAAATCCAAACAGACCTCCAATTTTAATATCTAATTTTAAAAAAAAAAATTAGACTAACTCATCGAATAAGCCTATTTTATCAAATCATATCCCTATTTAGTGAACGAAATTCAAAATCACATTTAACTATGAAAACTCAAATCACACTCAATTAATTTAAAAACAAGTCAAATGACTAAAACGGATATATAAATTTATCTATTAGTGAAAATTTTGTTTGTAAATTCTTGCATGAGAGTAAAAGCACGGGATCAAATAACGGATATATAAATTTATTTCTTTTATACTCAAATTAAAAAACCATAATTAAATTGGTAAGAATTTTAAAAAAAGATATATAATTTGTTTAAAATGAAAGAAATTCAAAAGAGCTCTGTTATATTTTCCTACTTATCCTCTTGATAATCTTATTCCTACTTTAAAATCCATCGGTCTTTTCCTCATTTATAGTAATCAATATTTATCTATTTATCACTCTTTATCAAATAATTATTAATGAAAAAATTATAAAAATATTAGTTGTTTATTAAATTTATAAAATAACAAAAAAAACTAAACAAAAATTGACAAATAAAAAAAAGAGTAAAGTAACATTAACCAATTCTTTTAAAATATATGGAAAGATATACAATAAAATAATTATATATGATAATTTTTTATTAAAAATTATAAGACATTACATAATTTAAAGCATTAATAATATTTATAATTTTTATTATTTATTAATTTTTTTCATTGTGCGTTGTTGAACACACTTTAAAATGAACACAAACTAAACTAAGAACAAGAACAAGAAACGACGATATCAGGAACAAGATCAAGAATAACATGAACACAAATGAAAGCAAAAATAAGAAAACAAGATCAAGATAAGAAACACAAGGAAGAGCAAAAAACGAGACCAAAATTAAGATCAACGCCAAGAGTGAGAACAAGAAAACAAGACAAAGAATAAGAACATGAACACAAAGAACAAGAAACGAGAACAAGATTAAGAAAAAGAAAGATTAAAAAGCATGAACATGAATGAAACAAGAACAAGACCAAGATCAAGAACACAAGTCTAAGAATAAAAGCAAGACCAAGAGCATGAAAAAGAATAAGGAAACAAGAAAGAGCAAGAACAAGAAAACGAAAGGGAGAACGATATCAAAAGATCAAGAGCAAAAACGAGAACAAGATCAAGGCTAAGAGTAAGAAGAAAAAAAAACAAGCTCAAGATACAAAAGAGAACTTGAACACAAGTGAAAGCAAGAATATGACCAAGATCAAGAATACAAGTTTATGAATAAGAACAAGAAAAACATGGAAGAGCAAGAAACGATATCAACACCAAGAGCAAAAACAAGAAAACAAGATCAAGAAGCAAGAAACTGAGACCAAGAAAACAAGAACAAGACCAAGATGAGGAGAAACAAGAAAGTCCATGAATAAGAACAAGAAAAACATGTAAGAGCAAGAAACGAGATCAAGATCAACATCAAGAGCAAGAACAAGAAAACAAGATCAAGAATAAGAATAAGAAAGGAAGGAAGAGCAAGAAACGAGACCAAGATCAAGAAAACAAGACCAAGACAAAGAGAACAAGAATAAGAAAACAAGAAAGAGCAAAAACAGAACACGAACACAAATGAAAGCAAGTACAATATCACAACCAAGATCGCTATTAAAATAAGATAAGATAAAATAGGATTAGTTTGTTATTTTGTCCCACAATTCCCTGTATATTGTTTCCTATATCTTAGGCTATATTGTTAAACTTATTGGTCTATATAATGGCCAGAAAATGAATAATACTTTAAGCTGCTTGTTTCACAACAACTTCCTTTATGGTATCAAGAGCTTGACGTTCCTGCGTCAGTTTGCCCTTTTTTTTTTCTTTTTTTTTTTCTATCATGACTTCCGCAAACCAGCCTCTCAAAATCTCTTATCCAAAATCATCATTTTATCTTCATCCCTCTGATCACCCTGGTGTTCTTCTCACTACTGTTTTGTTAAGTGAGCAATCCAACTATGAAAATTGGGCAAAATTAATGCGTAATGCATTGAAAGCTAAGAACAAACTTAGTTTTGTTCTCGACACGATCATTGCACCCACTGATGAAACCTCTGACGAATCATATGCATGGCCTTTATGTAATTCCATGATTAATAGTTGGATCCATAATACTATTGACCCTCAATTGCAGCCATACATCAAATGCTTTGAGATGGCCAGAGCGCTTTGGGATGATCTCAAGGATCATTTTGCTGTAGATAAAATTCCTCGAATTTTCCATCTAAAAGCTTCCCTTGCAACTATGAAGCAAAATAGCTCATCTGTTACTGATTACTACACCAAGCTTCGATCCATATGGGATGCATTAGAATCCAGTCGCACATCTAATGCTTGCACCACATGTGATAATTGTGCATTCAAAAAATCTGTTGATACCGAACAAGAAAATGATCAGCTCTATCAATTCCTAATGGGTCTCAACCACACTGTCTATAGCAATATTATCACTCAGATTGTCAATACCACCCCACTTCCCACTGTTAATCGGGTTTTTGCCATGGTCATTCAAGAGGAGTCACATAATATAATGATTCAACATTCTGAAATGCCTATTAATGCTCTCAGTTGCGCTATGACCAAGCCATCCACCACTTCATCTAAACCGCAGATCTCCTGCACCCATTGTGGATGCCCAAACTATAATGTCTCATGACGAGGACAGTCCAATTCAGGACGTCTACCTGTAATTTCTGCTCATGCAACTCAAATCAGTGTTCTCTCTAACGAATGAGGCTCATCCAAACCTTTGACGATCAATGATTTCACTCCTGAAATGCTTCAACAGTTGATGTCCATTGTTGTTTCCTCCAAAGCTTCCACCGAAAAATTATCAGGTATGGTGTCCTCTAACCATTATTGGCTACTCGACAGCGGTGCATCTCAACATATAACAGGAAGCATTTCCTTCTTGTCTAATATTCGCACCATTCCTCCTTGCTCGGTAGGCTTACCAAATGGGGCTCATATTTTTGCAGTCAAGTGTGGGGATGTTAAACTAACCTCCACATTATTAATCACTAATGTTCTCTACGTCTCGTCGCTTACATGCAACTTGATTTCCGTTTCTCAATTGCTATGTCGAAACAACTGTGTTGCCATGTTTACTAATTTCACTTCTTTTCTACAGGACCAGTATACGAGGAGGACAATTAGACAGGGTGTTAAGCATGAAGGGGTGTATGTGCTGAGTCAACCCACATCGGCAATGGCTGTTCAGTGTAATTCTTCTTTAAGCTTATGGCATCGGCGGTTGGGCCATCCTTCTTAGCTATGTCTAGCTTTTCTACCATTTGTTTCCAGTTCTAATAAAATAATAGATTGTGATGTGTGCCATAGATCTAAACAAATACGTTGTTCGTTTCCAATAAATAATAAACAAAGTTTATGACCTTTTGATTTAATTCATTTTGATTTATGGAGACCATATAAACATGCCTCCTCCACTGGCGCACATTATTTTCTTACTATATTATATGATTTCAGCAGACATATATGGGTTTATCTTCTGCGTGATAAACGTGAAGCATGCTCAGCTATAATAAAGTTCATTACAATGGTACACACACAATTTAATATCATGATTAAACGAGTTCAAACTGATAATGGCGGTGAATTCCTCACTTCTTCCCTACAACGTTTCTTTGAAAATTGCGGCATCCTACAACAATTGTCATGTGTATACACACCACAACAAAATGGTAGAGTTGAACGCCACCATCGCCATATTCTCAACATAGCACGTGCATTGCGATTTGACAAACAACTTTCTGTTACTTTATGGGGTGAATACATTCTCACGACTGCTCATGTGATCCTACACAGCTGCTCAAAGGAAAAACTCCATATAAAATACTTCACAACAAGCCACCCAAGTATGATAATATTAGGGTCCTTGGATGCTTATGCTATGCTACAGTACTCCCTAAACCAATTGATAAGTTTGCTGCTCGATCGCAAAAATGTGTTTTTGTGGGCTACCCTTTAATTAAAAAAGGATGGAAGGTATTCAATTTAAGTACTAGATAGATTTTTGTGTCACGCGATGTATCCTCTGTTGAGGACACCTTTCCATTTGCACCAAATTCAATTAAAACACTTTCTACACAAGCCACTGCACCACCTACAATCATATATGAATCGTATGAAACAGAACCACATTCCTCAGATGTTCCATCCCCATCACGAGAGCCTGAGGAAAGGGGGAGCACCACTATTTCTCTACCACAAGCTTTTGCAGAACCTCGTCGATCCAGCAGGTCCCATCGCCCACCAGCACATTTAAAAAATTATCATTGCCGCACAGCTACTACACCCACTTCTATCAACGCTCTCTCCAATTGTTCTCTAGGTATTCTCTATCCTATTGAAAACAATGTTACTAATAATGTTTTCTCATTGTAGTATCAAAATTTCTTAGCGACTGTTAGTAGCAACACAGAACCGCGATCATTCAAAGAAGCGATGAAGGACCCACTATGGCAAAATGCCATGAAGCTTGAAATTCAAGCTCTTGAGGATAATCAAACATGGGTAATCACTCCTCTTCCACCTGGTAAGAAGGCGATTCCATGTAAGTGGATCTTTCGCATCAAACATCACTCTGACGGCTCTATTAAACGTTACAAGGCCAAATTGGTCATTGCTGGCAACAACCAAATTGAGGGAGAGGATTATAATGAAACTTTTGCCCCTATCGCAAAAATGGTTAGTGTACGTATTCTTCTTTCTGTTGCTGTTGCAAAAGGATGGCATATTTCTCAACTCGATGTACACAATGCCTTTCTTCATGGAGACCTTGAGGAGGAAGTGTACATGCGATTTCCTCCGGGTTTCAGTAGTGGTACTGCAGGTTCAGCGTTCAAACTGCGTCGATCCCTCTATGGCTTGAAGCAGTTTCCACGAAACTGGTTTGCAAAACTAAGGGACTCACTTATGAACTATGGCTTTAAACAATCCAAAGCCGATGGTTCTCGTATATGTTGACAACATCATCTTGGCTAGTAATAATACTTCTGCTTGTGCTCGGGTTAAACTTCATCTCCAATCATGGTTCAAGATCAACCTTAAATACTTTCTAGGTATTGAATTTGCTCGGAGTTCTTCTGGTTTGTTTTTAAGCCAACGAAAATTTGCAACGGACACTCTAAAAGAATGTGGTTTACTCAGATGCAAACCATGTGGTTCGCCCATGGATCAAAATCATAAGTTAGCTCTTGCTAATGACCCACCTTATAGTGATCCAACAAGGTATTGACGCCTTGTCAGATGTCTTGTATATCTCACTATTACTCGGCTAGAATTAAGCTATGCAGTGCACACTCTCTCTCAGTTTCTTCAAACCTCACTACAAGAACATTATGATGCTTTGTTGCGTGTTTTGCGTTATATTAAAGGAAATCCAAGGCATGGATTACTCCTAAGCTCTAACTGTAATTTTCAACTTCGTGCATATTGTGACTTGGACTGGGCAAGCTATTCGACGATCACTAGGAGATCCATCACGGGCTATTTTGTTTCACTAGGGAACTCTCCTGTCTCGTGGAAATCTAAAAAACAACACACCATTTCTCGCTCCTCAGCAGAAGCAGAGTATTGCGCGGACAAAAGCAATTCCAGTTTCTCATATCCAAGTTGGGTATCTCTTCCCTTCATACTCCAACTTGATGGGGAGTATTAAGATAAGATAAGATAAAATAGGATTAGTTTGTTATTTTGTCCCGCAATTCTTTGTATAATTTTTCCTATTTCTTAGACTATATTCCGCAATTCCCTATATATTGTTTCATGTATCTTAGGCTACATTGTTAAACTTATTAGTCTATATAATGGCCAGAAAATGAATAATACTTTAAGCTACTTGTTTTACAGCAACTTTCTTTAATCGCTAAGAGCAAGAACATGAAAACAAGACCAAGATTGACAACAAGAACACAAATAAGACCTACAAGGCCAAGAAAACAAGACCAAGAGACCGATAACAAGTTTAGGACTATGACCTTCCAAGAACACACGACCAAGACCGAGAACAAAACCAAGATACCACGAACAAAATGATGCTAAATACGTGAAATTTCATGCAAAATCAGAACACACAAAAACCATAATTGAGTATTCAATCAACAAATCCTGGGTCTGAAACAGAGCTATTGCGACATAAAGTTTTACAGCAGAATATCACCAGAAAGTATCAAAAAGTGGATATTTTGAGGTAGATTGCGTGAACGACAGGATTCGAACCTGCGCGTGTAGAGCCCGCTTATTACCACACTGGCACGAAACATTAAATAGAATGTCAATATTTATTATTTTACAAAATAAAATATATATTTTTGAGGGAGTTTATCATGATATTTTTACAAAATACTACTTTTTAAGTTATTTTTTGCATTAATTATTCTTTTATTGAAATATCTTAAATGGAAATAAAGTAATTAATTAGGTAAAATAAGAATAAAATAAATCATGGGTCCCAACAGTTTTGAATGCAGTTTGAAAAAATTATCCTAAATGTTTATATATTTAATATTATTAATGAAATTAATTATATTTTTAACTCTTATAAAATAATTAAAAGATACTTATATTTAAAATTTTAAAAATAAGTAAAGAGATATATAAAAGTATTCTATAGAAAAAAATAGATTTATTTAATAAAAAAATACTGCTATTTTTTAGGACAAGCTACCAACCTTTAGAAAGTTATTCTAGAGCTCGTGTAAATCATTTTCGTAGCACCCATTCATGTGGGCGATCAGAAAAGACATGATTATAACTCAATTAATCGAATATATATAAAGCTTTTTTTTTAGTTTAAACTACAATTATCTTTTATTAAAGGAAATATTATTTAAATTAAGTAAAATAACTATGGATATCAAACTCTTTTTTCCGAATATTTAATACACAGAGCTTTTCAAAACCTTAAACAATGTCTTAAGCAAATCTAATGAACCACCATATTTTATCTATATTTTATATACGATTTTATTAATATTAGTCTTTAAATTAATAATTTTAAACATATTAAATTATAATATTTATTATACTTTAAAATTTAATATATTCTATTACTTTTAAATATTTAAATTTATCTTATATTAAAAAAATACTCATAACACACTTTTTGCGATTAATTAAATTTAAAAAAAAATTAAGAGTAACCAATTATAAAAAATGTTTTGAAAAAAGTATGCTCATAGTATTTCTCTTTCCTTTAATATATCACCACGCGATTAACATATAAAAAAAATTAAGTTAAATTGCTCAAGTGTTATGAGTACTTATGACCGATTAAATTTAAAGTTTTACTCCAACATTTTACGATCACATTAAATAAAAATATTTTATTAAAATAAAACTCTAATTTTAACTCCTTACAAATGAGGACCTAAGTTTTCTCCTATCTGATTGACTAAGGAGAATCTAGTTACGGGCAACATGTCTCCTATGTTTCTTGTACATTATATGAGACAAGCAGATATTCGAGTCCGAATTACAAGGGAAACAACATTTCCCATTCATTTTCACTCACTACTAGTAATTGCAATACAATCAATGACAAACCAGCAAGGAAAAAAAAACAAGACATTTCAGCACATTGAGCAATTTGGAAGTTAAAAAGTAGAGAAACTAAAGCAAATTAAGGGTGCTGCTGGTTTATGAGGCTGCAAGTCTCATAATTTTTACAAAAGGCCAAGAAGTTAGGCGTGTCCTACAGACCCCTTGAACCAGGAATGTCAACCCAATGCAACTGAAGCTCCACTTCCCCACTCTCAACATTTCTTAATCTAAGAACCATGTTTTGCACAACTTTACCATCTTTCCACACAATGTGACTCTCTTCTGCTAAGCAATTTTGTCTGCTAGGTAGCACCTTTGTAACTATAGTATCATTTGGAAGACCTTCCAAGCGCATTTTTATTGCATCAAGAAATGGACCAATCACAAATTCAGCATCCCCCATTTTGTCATCCAAGCTAAATGTGTCCTTGTCATACACAAGCTGCCATCATAAGACAGTAATGTTATTTCCTATGTTGAATTCAATAGAATTTGCTAAGAGTCAATTTAAACTTCCATGATAAATTGAATTAGTTCACCAAACCCCATATATGTTTTATGTTCTAATTCCCAAAATTTAACATTTCGATGATAAGATAATGTTCATGTGACTTAAAATGTTTGTACTACGCTGATCAAGTTTCTACAAATTCAGAAGTTTTACCTTGATGATTGTCATATGATAAAAGTGTATATGAATCGGTAACATGACTCCTACAGATGGTCAATGCTACTTTTATTTCTCATTTTGACGCAAGTTTTGTTCTAAAGTATTGAATGCACAAATTTACTAGAACAGTTACTCACTAGTTGGATTGGAGCATGAGGATCTGAAATGGACAAAGTTAAGTCATCATTCCATTCAGGATTTAGATCCTTCTTCACTACCCGAGTCTTCAGCTTCTGAATGAAACACAAAATACAGTAATGAATTGGATGTTCAGATAAAATCATGAAAAAACATATCGTTAATTATGCAGTTCATTCTAATCACAGACTATATCGTTAGAAATAAGAAATTTAGAATATACACTTAATTACCCTTTTACACATAAATTTCAGCCTATCTTTTATTAAGTTGAACCAGTTGCAGTGCATAATCTTGTTCTAGGGGGAAAAAGAATCATAGAAACTCTTGTTTGGGATGCAGACAGAAATTTTATCCTCACTTATTTATCTAACCTTGTTGTAAAATACCCAAAAAAAAAAAAGACAAGAAAAAAGGGACAAAACTTCATGAGTTAATTTTGCTGCACAAGCTGCTACCGTAACAGATGAAAACGGCTTAAACAAAATTCTAAAACGTTGTACGTATACTCAGATGACATACAAATGAAACAGATACACCACAGTTTGTCAAGTAAGAAATCAGTAAGGTAAAAATGCATCAGAATCAGAGTTATTAATAAAAGAGCAAAGGAGACACAAAAAAAATGATTAAGAATATAAAAAGAGAATTAGAAGAAATATTAACAAAGAAACAAATTCAACAAACTCCGTAGACTTATCACAGAATGCCCAGAAGAAAGTAACCAAAATATGATGAAGAGGCAAAAAACACATGATTAAACAAGTAGAGAAAAATTACCTGCTTGCCCAATTTGATGACAACATAAGGGTCACTACTGACCACATCCCTGATAGCTAGATTGACCCCTCTTTCAACATGAATTCTGAGCAAACCCAATAAGTTCTCCATGGAGAATATGTGAGCAGAGGAAATAAAGCAAAATGGATTTTCAAGACAGAACAAGTGGGGGAAGTGGACCTCTGATTCAAGCACAAAGTGGTTGCAGCTATTTATAATCTATAAACTTCTCTCTTTCTTTATTGTTTTTTCTATGAAGACTAGTTCCTCCTCTCTATTGTAAGAAGTTTGGTTTCTTTAACTTATTCGCTGTTGTCCTTTCATAGGGTCCATACAAATAATATTTTTTTTTGTAAAAAATTATAATAAATTCGCTTTCTACGTTTTAATAATTTTAAAATCTTAATATATAAATAACTTTTTGGATTCATTTTAGATCAATATTATCTGGTGCAGTTACAGTCAAACCATATTACCACAAACGAAGAACAAGTCTTTTTGTCAAAAAATATAAATAATTATCTATTTACACCTAGAACAGAGATAATATTAATTATTATTATTGAATACATTTTTAATCCCTTAAATTTTACAGCATTTTAATTTTAATTCCTATAAAATTATAATATATATTTTATTACTTATATTTTATCAAATTATTGATTTAAATCACTTTCACTTATGTGATTCTACAAAGAAGTTGTGTGTAACACTAAAATTTAATATATGATAATATTTAAATTAATTATGCCATTAATTAATAATTATTAGTATTTGAGGACTAAAATATATTTAACTTAATATAATCGATATTTTGAAATTTACTAAGCAGCCTTAATATTGTAGAATAGAATCAAGAAGCTATTTAATTGAATTCTTCACAAGAGTCTGAGATTTACCATGTAAGCAAAATAATAAATAGAATTAGAATCCAGTGTGAACTGTTTCTGTATTATTTGAATACACGCTTTTGCAATTTATTCATTTTTTCAAATCATAACAAGTTGAATTTAGTGGCAGCGTTTACTCTCCAAGTCTCTTAAAGCCAAACTAATAAGAAGTTTTGGCCCAATGTTAAGCATAATCTTAATGCATAAGCGAAAGACTAAACCATTTTTAGAGGGGGACCTTGGAGTAGGTTATCTAGCATATTTGACATTGACAATGCTTAATTGCCATATTAAATGCAAGCAAACAAGTTAAGCGCGTGGTAAGTTCAAGATATTTTTTATTTTTGTTTATTATGTGGAATCAAGGGGTAACTGATTTTATGCAAGGTTTTAATTTTGTTTTAAATCTTTACTCCGTAATTGTTTTAAACATGATAACTTTAATAGATTGTGGAATAAATATAAATTATAACAAAAACATAATTTATTAATCTCAGATATAAACGAAAAAAAATGCTAATGGCTCTAAAATAAACATTTATTATTTATTAATAAGATGATATCTCAATTATTTTTAAGAACACCAATTTTAAAGTTACTACTTGAACATATTTGAAGTCTTATAAATGAGATGTAATGCTTTAAAAAAAATTTAAAAAGTTCTAAATAAACTTTAAAACACAATAAAAAGATGTATTTTTTTAATTTAATTAAAATATATTAATATAATAAAAAATTACAATGTTATTTTATCAGATAATTAAAATTTATTATTTTTATAATAATTAATTCAAAATTCATATATAAAATAATTTTTAATTAAACATTAATATATAAATTTTTACATTATATCAAAGTTAATCTCTATTTTTTTTAATATATATATATATATATATATATATATATATATTGCTATTCAACAAGGTTTGAAAGGTCCAAAAACAAGAACAAATTAGAAATTAAACTTAGGTTAAGAAACTCTCAAACAGTCAAGTCTAATAAGGGAAGTTAAAAAAGGGGAATCTCCTCAAAACTAGAATCAAACCCACCTTCAAGCCCAAGTTTAACCAATCAATCAGCACATAAATTAATTTCTCTTAAGATATATCTGAATCTAACAAATTTAATACTTTTAAGAAGGATTATAATTTCCAAAAGAATAGAATAAAGAGAATGACCACTACTCTAAATATTTACAATTAATGATATGATTTCCTTACAATTACTCTCAATCCAAATAGCATAGATATTCTTAGTAATAACCAACTTCAATCCCTAAAGAATCTCCCAAAACTCGGGTGTAAGAGGAAAGCAATAATGTAAGAAATTGAAGAAACTAGTTATGAAGACTTCATTATGGTCTGGAATAAGACCCTCATAGCTAACTAGACTCGAATCATGCCAAACAGACTCATTTGTGTTCAACTTGTACTGTTTGACCAAAGAAAGGCTTTGAAACCTCAACAATAGACTTCAGGCAACCTCTTCTTTATTTTCTAGTTCATCAAATCTATCTCTTTTTTTTATCTCTTCTCCCCTTCATTATGCTTCATTCTTTAGGGTAGGGTAGTACAAGAGACCAAGTTCAAGTCATAACCACCCCATAAATTTATTATTCTCCTCTAAGTTTCTCTCACATATGATTTGTGTGGGAAGTTAGGGTGAGAACCCTAGCAACGCCATCCCACTCTCTCTAAAGACAAATAATATTTTTTGAAGAAAAAAATTTATTGTGTGTCTTTTTTTTACCTAAATCAAATGATATTTTTTATATATATTTTAGACGATGTTTATATTTTTAATTAATGACATATTCAATATTTAAATAGAAGTATAGGAATTCTTTAATAATGGACTAGTAGTTTCATTAAATAAAAAATTAAAGATACACAAAAATTGGGTGGTCTATATTCATTTTCATATTATTTTGTTTGTTTTCCTTCCTAACTCCAACACGACTTTTCACATTTCCTCGCATGTTCAGCCAACAACGGAATAAGATAAAATACTGTTTTCCAATAAAATCAAATGTAAAAATAAAAAAAAATGTCAATAATAAAATACCGTTGTTCAATTCCAATCTTTAATTTCTTCAGTAATGTTTATGGCAACTAGTGGGGTTTTCCAATTTGGACCAATTTTATATTTTTAAAATTCGATCCAGTCAACTTATTAATTCCCAGTGACATAAAACATTATATTATATTTCTATATTTTGCAAAACAAAAAAATAGTCAAAGAATAAAAGAAAAATATATATTATATTTCTTAGCATTCCGAAATCTCACTTTTTTAACTTTTTAAAATTGTATGGTATTAATGATAATTTTCTTATGAATAAATAATTTTTAATTAAAAATTACATTAAAAGAGCATTAAGAAAATCACTCTTTAATTTATACTAATGCAACTTTTGTCAATGTTATAAGCGCACGAGACACGTTTGCCGATTTTCGGGTGTAACCGATCGGTCCAAATCGAAGGTTTCGGCAGTCACGAGAGTGTGGAAAACAAATTGGTTGCAGCAATAAATGAAATTCGTTGCTTCGTGTTTATTTTATTCGTTGCTTCGTTTATTTGGTAAGTCAAACGGGCATTAAATTTATAAAAATATTAAGTGAGCACTCTTAAAAAATAATTACTTTAAGATTTTATACAAATTTATTGTTAATAGTTTACTGATATTGCTGTGTCAGTGATCACGTGGAATGAAAGGGTAGTTGGTATCATCCACAAAATGTCTCTGTGTCACCAGTTGTCGTTGGATGGAGAAAATGTTTTATTTTAGGTAAGTTTAGTTTCTGTCTCGGGCCAAAGTTTTTGTAGTGGGTCCTTGGATTGAAGGGTGTTTCTAGATTAAATTAAATTAAATTTTGTTTAGTGACAAATAAAAATTTGTTCACACAAAGATTAAATTAATCCAAATCCATTTGAAGTAGTTTTGATTTTATTATTCATTCATATTTTCATTTTCTTATGTTTTGCTTTTAAAATAATAAATGAATCCTTCACATTGTAATATATAATAAGAGCTCTACTCCCTGATATGAAAAATGTTTGTATAAACTTTAACAAATAACACCCTTTGTTATTGTTAGTTTATTATTAGATAGAAATAATAATTCCACCTTTTAGAGGATAACAAACCTTTAACAAAATAATAAATTTTTGGAAATAGTGTTCTATTTTTATTTTTTTTTTAAACAGAGCTAAACAGCTCAAACAACACTAAAAAGCTACAACATCAAAACTATAAGATGAAAAAGCATACCATTCACATCTTTTTAAATAATTTTGGAAACTTAGCCAATATTTCCCTTAAGAAACTTCTAATTCTGCTAATCAAATTAAAACACTCATGTATGTTATCACCTGTAGTCAAACATAACAATATAGGTAACTCATCTAACTCAATTAATTAATTGACTAATACATTAAATTTAGATTGTACAAAATATAAATATAAGTTAAAGTTAATCAGTTAATTATAATATATATATATATATATATATATATATATATATATTTCCACTTCTACGTCAGAAATTTTGTAAATTAAAATGATAATTTTTTTTTGGGTAAATTAAGTAGTTAACTTTAATTTATCTAATTAGGTAACTCAACTAACTCAGAAAATTTAATTAACTAATACTAAATAATTTTAACCTATCTAACTTTTAATTAGCGATGGCAATGGGTAAAGTACTCGATAGGTACCTGCAAAATTTATCCTCAACAGGTAGGGTATTTACCCGCTAAACGGGTACAGGTATGGGTATGAAAAAATACTCGCAAATTTCCATGGGGATGGGGGCGGGTATGGGTACCTAAGTACCCACCCCGCCCCATACCCGCATATACTATTATTATTATTATTATTATGCTACTTATGTAAGGAAGGCCTTAAGCCAAAAGCCCATAATGAGAGAGAATTAGGGTTAATACTTTATATATTTGGCTAGGTCTCTTTTATAATCATTGACAATTATATAATCATATGAGTTGCTCCACAATTTGCCTATCGAAAGTTGTGTTTTAGGAGTGTGACTTACATAAAGATCTAACCTATCACTTCTCATAGAATTCAGAGATCAAGTATAACAAATTTTATACAAATACAAGTCTTCAACAAGTAAGCCTAAAACTCTATTATAATTATTATTGATATTTTTAATTATTTTTATTGTTCTAATTTCATATATTCTAGTTTGAATAATTTTTTACTTATAATTGAGGAACTAATAATTTAAGAAAACAAGAATCTAACTTACTTTTATTTTTTAGAAAGTTTTTGTGGATGCTTTTGTAAAATTTTGGTCAAGATAAAGATTTTACTATTTATTTTATGTAATTTCATGTCTTATATTTTTTACTCAGTTCAGACTTCTTTTATAGGTCATTTATTTTATTTTATACTACTATATTTTAAAAAAAAATTCTATGCAAAATAAAAGGTTGAGAAATTTAATATAAATATTTATGTTACTCAAATAAAAGAATGCATCTTTAAATATATAAAAATCCATCTCATCGAATTTATTTTATAAGATTAACATAAAAATATATTTATCAATAAAGTAAACCATAAAAATAGTTTTTTTTCATATTTTTAATAGAAAAATTTATTTACTATTTTATATCTTTTAACTAGACTAATATAATTTAATTATTATATAGTTGATATGAGATTGATTTTTTTTAAAAAAATTATTTATATATGACACATACAAAATGTTTAGAAATTTAGTGATTAAAATTATGTGATATTATATTGACTTGGGTTAAATAAGATTTTTTATTTAAGTTCTTGCTTTTATATAGGTAATAACAAATGGAAAATGTATGTGAAGTAACTCCTTCAAAGGAATCTGAAAGTAGCTCTTCTCCAATTATTTCCATTACTCTCACACAACCTGAAAATGTTCCTAAAAGTATACTTAATGATTATGGACCGAGTGACAGTTCTGATATTAGAGGTCAATCTCAATCACAGTCTAATACACTTCCTATTTCAGTAGATAGAGATGATTGTGATGCAATTCATGATGAAAAAAAAAGAAAGATGTCGATTGTATGGAATCACTTTAAGAAAAAAATTATTAATGGGGAAGAAAAAGCTATATGCAATTATTGTAATAAGCAACTGACAGGTAGAAGATCAGATAGAACAAATCATTTGCATAAACACTTTCAAACTTGTAAGAGGAGGCCATATAAGGATATAAAACAATCAATCTTATTGAGAGAACAAAAGAAAGTAGACGGATCATCCACTTATTTAAGTAATTATCACTTTGATCTAGAACAATCTAGAAGAGATCTTGCTTCTATGATAATAATTCATGAGTATCCGCTTTCTATAGTAGACCATTTGGGGTTTAGAGCATATTCTGAAGGCCTCCAACCTTTATTCAAGGTTTCTAGTCGGAACACAATAAAAAGTGACATTATCAAAATATATCAGAATGAAAAGTTGAAGACGATGGGACTCTTAGAGATGATTGGAAGTATAATTGCTTTAACAACAGACATGTGGACAGCTAGCAATCAAAAGAAAAGGTTTATGGCTATCACAGCTCACTACATTACTGATGATTGGGATATGCAAAGTCGCATATTGAGGTATAATTTTTGTGATCATTATATGATATATTGATTTAGTAATTATTTGCATTATTTCAATATTTTTTTTATATATGTATATAATTTATTTTTACATTAATAGGTTTGTATATGTGGAATGTCCACATACAGCAGAAGTTCTGTCTAAAGTGTTAGTTGAATGCATGCTAGATTGGAATATTGATAGAAAATTATCTACCATCACTTTGGATAATTGTAGTACAAATGATTCTCTTGTTGGTTTGTTACTAAACAAACTTGATTGTTCTTCTCTTATGCTTGATGGTCAATTATTTCATATGAGGTGTTGTGCACATATTCTCAATTTAATTGCTCAAGATGGTTTAAATATTCTTGGAGATGGCATAGAGAAAGTTAGAAGTAGTGTTGCTTTTTGGACAGCTACACCTAAAAGAGAACAAACCTTTAAGGAAGCAGCACGTCAAATCAAAGTTTCCATTACAAAGAAACTTGTACTTGATTGCAAAACAAGATGGAATTCTACTTATCACATGCTTGTTGTTGCATTGGCTTATAAAGATGTTTTTATTCATTTGAAAACAAGAGAGCATATGTATACATGTATCCCTACAACAAATGATTGAGAAATTGCTAAAGAAATTTGTAGTAGGTTGGAAGTCTTTAATTGTGTGACTGAGATGTTTTCTGGGACACAATATCCTACAACAAATATTTTATTCCCATTGATTTGTGAAATAAAGTTATCTCTGCAACAATGGCAAATTTGTTCAATTGAGGCTATTAGAAATATGGCTACAAAAATGGTAACCAGTTTTGAGAAATATTGGTCTGTTATACATGGAATCATGGAAATTGCCATTTTTTTTGGATCCAAGATATAAATTAAAGTTGTTAGAGTACTTCTTTCCCAAGCTCTATGGAAGTTCATCTTCTTTTCAAATTAACAATGTGAAAAAATTATGCTACTTGTTATTTGAAGATTATCAAGCTAAAGCCATGGGAATAGTAGAAAGTTCAGCTGAAAAGTCTAATTAGATGGAGATGAATTTGGATATACTTAATGTTAATAATTTTTTAAGTGATTATGATTCATTTGTTAAAGATACAAATGATATGCAATCAAAGTCTAAGTTGGATATCTACTTGGAAGAGAAGGTATTGCCTAGAAGTGCTAGTTTTGATATCCTCGGGTGGTAGAAATCAAATGGGATCAAATATCCAATATTGCAAAAAATTGCCAAGGATATTTTGGCCATCCCAATTTCAACCGTTGCTTCAGAGTCTGCTTTTAGCACAGGAGGTAGATTGTTGAGTCCTCATCGTTCTCGACTTCATGAGGATACTTTGGAAGCACTCATGTATGCACAAAGTTGGCTGAAACATGAAAATGAAGGTATTGAATACTCTATTAATATATTTATTTAATTAAATATTTTTGTTAATTTTAATTTGATAGCTTAATTATTGATTTTCTTATTATGTACTTGTATGTTTTAGTTTCTATTGGTATTACTGGACCAAAGCAATATGTAAACTTGAAAGATAAACGTTTACAGTCATTTGGAGAGTCTGATTTTGATGAAGAGGTAAAATAGCCTAACTATACCATTTTGACTTTACAATAAATAATTAACTAATGTTATTTTTTTAGGTCTTGCAGAGTGACAGTACAGGAATATAAAGTTTAGGAGTTGGTTGTTTTACAAGATCTTGCAGATTATGTGTGCAATTTTGTTTTTGATTTTTAAGTACTTTAGTTTAGAAAGTTGATGTATTAAGATACACTTAACACTTATGATCTTTGAATATTTATTTTTTAATTATACTTGAACTTTGTTCGGTAATATTATATAAGTATTTTTTTTTTATAACTGCTTTTTTTTTCTTAGACATGCGCAGGTAATAGGGACGGGTATGGGTATGCGGGTACCCAGAGGGTACGGGGACGGGGACGGGGACTAAAAGTACTACCCACGCGGGTATGGGGCTGAGTACGGGTATTTTTTTAAAATGCGGGTATGGGGATGGGTACTATAGTACCATACCCATACCCTACCCATTGCCATTTCTACTTTTAGTGTGTACAATTTAATAGTACTTTTAAATTACCTGGTAGAATTTAATTAAAATTTGATTTTAAATTTGTATTTACTGAACTGACTTATCAACAGTTTTCTATCAAACAGCTTCTTTTACAAAAATCAAAAAATGGAATAGAAATTTGATTTGAAACTATTAATAGATTTAATTATATTTTTTATCTTTATAAATATAATTTTTTTAATTAATATCTACAAATATTTTTATTAAAAAATGATCATTCTAAAGTTAGTAATTAATTTTTATTATTAATTAGTTAAATGCTGAATTGGTTGAGAAAACTCAACGTGATTCAATAACTTCTTATGTGACATATCATATTATTTCTTTTTTATTTTTTAAAATTAAATTTTATAAAAATAACTCCCTCATTATATTTACAATCATGTTCAATCTTTTATTCTCTCATCACTCCCCTTCTTTCCCATTCCCTCCTTCTTCATCATCAATGGCCACCATAAACAAAGACGAAATCAGCAGCAACAATGTGTCTTCTTTTCCGGGCTTCATATCCACCGAGACCTTATGCTCCATTCTCACCCACCAAACTCTCATCAATCACTTTGAACCCACTCTCCCCAAAGTCTCAACCTTTTTCCAAACCCCAATTCGTCAACACTATTCTCTCTCTCCTTCTTCCTCTCTCCTCCTCATGCCCTCTTGGTCCTCTTCCCCTTCTTTCCCTTACATTGGCGTCAAGGTTGTTAATCACTTCCCTCTAAACTCTGCTGTTAACTTACCAGGTGTGCAAGGAAGCTATGTGCTCTTCAATTCCACCAATGGCAAACTCTTGCTTCCATGGACTCCACTGAACTCACCCTTTACCGAACCTCCTCTGTCTCTGCCTTGGCTTCCAAATATTTAGCCAGACGTGATTGTGAGGTCCTTGTTACGGATGGTGCTGGTGCCTTAGCACCCCATTTGATCAGAGCCCATATTTCAGCCACACCCAGTTTGAGAAAAGTCCTCATCTGGAATAGGACAGTGGAAAAGGCTACAACTTTGGCACAAAAACTGAGAGAGTGATGAATTTTTAGGGTTGAGCTTTGAGGGTTGTGGGTGTTTGGATAAGGTTGTTGGGCTTTGGGATATTGTGAGTTATGCCATCAATTCTGAGACAACCCTTGTGAAGGGAGAGATTTTGAAGGCTGGTGCTCATTTGGTTTGGAGGTTGATAATTACTCGGCAAGTGCACGAATCGTTTTAAGTAAATACCACGCTAAGTGGGTATCGTTTCACTTATCAAATAATATTTCACTAATCAAAATTCTAGTTAGACAATATCAACTATTTAGATCGAAGAAAGCTCTACAATTGAAATTAAAACAAAATAGAGATTTATAATAGAATAAATATTGCCTTCAACAAGTAAAGAGTGATCTTAAGATTTAAAACATTAAAGGTTAGGATGGTCTGAGTTTTTCTTAATCCGTGTTGAATTTCTAAATACTTGAATTAAAAATCTTAGATTAATAAAAGGATTACAAGTGAATGAACCCCAATTCCTTGGTGAATCCATTCTTTACTTATGAAAAAATATGACAATTCCTTGACTATATCTCAACACAAATATAGTTGAAGCACTAAATCAATCCACATATCACACAAAATTCAAGAAATATTCCTAAACCTTGAAATTCATGTAGTTCATCTTTTGAGCTAATTCATACACAATTTTTCCAAATCATATAAGAATCCTAATCCACTCATGAACAAAAACTCATGATTCTTGCATATATAATCGAAAGACGAACAATTAATCCAAGAAATCCAATATCAAAACCTTAGAAATCCAATCTCAATACACCCATCTCAGACCTAATCCTTTCTCCTAGCTATGGAGTTTAGCAACTCATTCTATGAAGAACAAAGAAGAAAATTGTAGGAAATTCCATAAAGAACCAAGAATTGGAAAGATGAATCTTCAATCTCTCCTCTTCCTCTTGTTCCCCAGTTGTCTTGTAGCTCCAAGCTCTTTTCCTCCGTTTTCTCTTGAGTTCGCCCTTGCTTCCATCCCCCGCTAATCCTTTTCTTTCCTTCTATTTATATGAAAACTTACTTGACAGCATCCGTGAGCGCCTAGGCGTTGCGATTTGGGCACCTAGGCTGCAGGTTACCTGAGAGTAAAATAAAACCAGTAAATTCTGCCTGGATGGTGGAGATTAGCGCCTGAGTGCTCATAATTCCAGCAAAACATTTAGAAAATGTAATAACATAAACAACTAATGAAGACAAAGAAAAAGACTACTAAAAATAACTTTTCAAAGAGTTATGGATGTCTTTATACTCTGAAAATCTCAATAAATTGATGGAACATCAGTGGTTCCTTCAAGGATTCAATGAAGGAGTGTGATGATGAGGCCTTAAAGAAGGGGAACGGTATTTGTGGAAAGTGAAAAATGAGGCTTATGTATCCAGGTTGTATGAGAAGAAAAGAAAGAAGCAAAATTAAAAGATTTTTATATAATTATGAAAAATTGTATTTAGAGACTTATGTATAATTATATAATTTTAAATAAAAATAAAATATAAATAATATGACATGTTATTTAGCTAATTGACTAAGACTTAAACAAGTTACGTAAAACTCTCTGCTAACTAGTTCAGTATTTAACATAAAAAAAAAGTTAATGATAAAAATTAATTTTTAAATTATCAATTTTTAAAAGAAATATTTTTTAATAAAAATATTTATAAAAACTAATTGAAAAAAACATAATTAATCCTTAAAAATATTTAGAAAAAGGAAAGTGTACTATATTTATTATATAATGAATGGAGCCACCACGGAGTGATGGAAACTTTGGTGCAAATGTCACTGTTATCGTAATTTGTTGATGGAGCCATGAGATTAGGAAAGGGCGCCACAATTATGTGCAACACTTTTCCGCACATCACATGGACTTTACATACAATAACATTTATTTATACAGCATTTTTTGGTATCAAATTTTTATTATTTAATTATTTTTTATTTTGTTTTCTTTCATAATTATATACTTGAATTTTGGTAAATTTCTTAAATTCTTTATATGAGATCATATGACTGTTTTAAATTTCGAACTGATGGTTAAATTGATAATAATTAAATATATAATTTTAAAATATATAAATTATTAAATAATCTTCTAACACAAAATTATGCACAAAAAAAAAAAAAACTAAGCAAAATTTCAAAGCAGCGTAAAATAATTATATTAAATGTTTATATATATATATATAATTACTAAATTTATTATTTATAATCTTATGGCATTTTTATGTTTTTCAATTTAAAATTTTAATTTTATTCTTTTATTTATATTTTACTAAATTTTTAATTTATTTCATATACATGTTAATGATTTTCGGTATTCTAACTTTTCTAATTATTATTATTATTATTATTATATATAATAAAAAATACAGTAATTTTTTAGGAAAGTATAAAATTTTTATTATATATGTTATTCAATTAAAATTTTCAAATATATGAATAGAAGATAATAAAAAAATTTGCCTCCAAACTCTTTTAATTTTTCATATAAGACTGAAATTATAAAAGAAAATTACTAGATTTGATAATTTTTTTTCCTAGACAACAATACAAATTTAGAGCATATATTTGGAGTTAATTATTTTTTTAGAATAAGTAAATATAATTTTTTGTATCAATTAATTATTGTATATATTAAATAATTACATTAACAATAAACATATGACACATGCCAACAAATTTATAAATTTAATACTATAATTTTTTTAGTCTTTGAAAAAAATATACGTAATATTAATTTAATTAGCTAATTATTTATGATTTTGATTTAGAATTTAATAAAATCACTTAGTTAATATTTAAAATGTATCCATACACACATAAAATGATACACAAAAAAGTAAGTTGCACGTGGACATTCTTGATAATGGTGTGAACTGAGTGTTATATAAATTGAAAATTGTTTCACAGCTGTTGTCTACAATTCCACAGTGGGTCCTGCCAGCACACATGATCTCGATCTGTCTTTTTACAGCTTTGAGTGGAACACACGACAAAATAGTGGCAAACAACTTTGGACCTTGTTACAACTTCGGAAGTGGGTAGGAATGACAATGTGTAAAGTATCCAATGTGCACCTGCAAAATTTACTCACAATAGATAGGGTATTTACCCGCTATACGGATACGGGTATGGGTAAAAACCTGCAAATTTTAATGGAGATGTGTGCGGGTATGGGTATCTAAATACCTACCCCGTTCCATACCTGCATATATATATATATATATATATATATATATATATATATATGCTTGAACTTTATTCTATAATTATGCATTGAATTTTTGTATTATTATATTACTTATGTGAAGTTATATAATATTAATATAAAAATATATTTAATAATAAAGTAAACCAAAAAATTTATTTTAGTTTATATTTTTAATAGAAAAATTTATTTACTATTTTATATCATTTAATTAGGCTAACACAATTTAATTATTACATAGTTAATATGAGATTGACTTTTTTTAAAATATTATTTATATATGACACACATAAAATATTTTTGTTAATAAAATCATATTGATGTTTAAATTATAAAGTGAATGATAAATAATAAATATATTATAAATTTTTATAAATTTTACAATTACCTACTATTACCGTAAACTTATTATTTATTAATAATATTTAAATTTTATTTTTATATTTTAATTTAAAATAATATTTTTCTATGTAACATATGTATTACAAGCACAACTATAATCTATTGAATCTAAATAATATTATTCTTACTATTTATTCACATTGAAAGAAGTTTTTGAAAAGATATAAATATAAAAAATTATTGTCAATTTTTATTTGTTAATTTTTTTAAGATAAAAAAGTATAACTTTTTTAATATACACGTATATTTATTTATTATAAAATTTTATTGTAACTATTTATCTTTTATTCAAATTCTTTTTTTTTAAATTTATATACATTATAAATATTTAATTCACTAAAATAATTTTTCAAAAATTTATATTTTTGATAAAATACTTTCGTATAGTATATGAGTTAAGAAATACTAGTATTAATATATATATATATATATATATATATATTAATTATATTATATTATTTTAATTAAATCTATTATTTTTCTTACAATTTCAAATTTAAAAGTTAAAAAAAAATATTTTATGTATCAACTTTCTGTTGTTAGTATTGAACTTCTCTACTCTAACTCTATTCTCATTCTCAACGTCTGTATCACTAAAACTTAATAACTATGAAATGTTATTCATTAGAGTTAGTTGTTAATGCCGTCACAAGAGGTTACTAAGTGATCCCACACGAAGGGACAACCATTGTACAGATCTATTTCGTTGTCGTTCTAACATTACCAATCAATCAAATCTCACACAAGATAAGATTATTACTGACAAATAACTTATGTGTTTAGTTTTGCTTATTGTTTCTAAGAATTTTAGTTTAGAAAATTATTATATTAAGATACATTTAACATTTATGATCTTTGAATATTTATTTTTTATCTATATTTGTACCTTGTTCGGCAACTATATATTAAATTTTTGTATTATTATGCTACTTATGTGAAGTTATATAAACATATTTTCTTTATAAATATTTTTTTCTCAAACAAACGCGGGTAATGGGTACAAGACGGGTATGCGGGTATGCGGGTACCCAGAGGATACGGGTACGGGGATTAATGTTCATACCCACGCGGGTATGGGGCCGGGTACGGGTATTTTTTTAAAACGCGAGTATGGGAATGGGTACTGTAGTACCCTACCCATACCCTACCCATTGTCATCCCTAGAAGTGGGTTGGTCCTGTTATTGTTTTTAACATTAAAATCACATTTTTTTCAGTTTTAATTATTAATGTTCATATTTTATTAAATTTTAAACGTTTTAAAAATTGAGAGAGTATTTTATACTCTTCTTATATTATATGATTTTAATTATTAATATTATATTAAATATATATAATAGATAATAAAAGTTAATAATTTCTCTTAAAAGATATAATATTTTATAAATTTTAAGATAATTAAACAATTATGATTATAAATTTTTAAAGAATATAAAATACTTTTTTAAATATAAGACACGCTAACGAATATTAGAGGCTAGACTATATTCCCCCTCTCCAAATTAGAGTGAAATTAAGTTTTATAACTTTAGAAAAGGGTTTATGTTTAACTTTGGGGCTTCGATAGAGGGGGAAAAACTGGTAAGATATGTATTTGTATTCGATATTTTTTTAAATTAAGTATAAATAAATAAATTATTTTTGTTTAATAATTTTTAAAAAATAAAGAAGATACTCTTTTTTCTTTTCTTTTTTTTAGTTTTTTACTAATCCATGCTAATTCATCTTATCTGAAATTCGGTTTCCTGAAGAACAATATATTTTCCGCGTGTTGCCTAACGATTTCATTTCGCGGTTCCAAACACAGTTTTAGCCTAGAATTTAGAAATAAGAAGTAGAAACCCTAGCCATTCATCTTAACCTATTCACAATTGTACACTAAGTTATTACTTTGAGTTATTGTTTGTTTATGTATTGGCTTTATTGCAGAATCGAAGGAGACAATTTCTTTGTGGAGTTACTGCCTTTTTTCTTACTCTCTGTATCTTACAAATGAAAATGTACGTTTCCAACCTTTTTTATTTCTTTTCAAAACTGATACATTAATTTCAATTGAACGTTTCTCTTCGTATTTGGCATGGTTGATTTTTAATTGCTTTGTAATAGCTTGGAGGCTAATGCTGGTGCTCTCACAAATTTTGAGGTCCTTGATTTCCTACGAGCTAAAGGAGCTTCGAAGGATCCAACAAGGGTTATTGCCAATGTGTCACAGTCTGAATAGAAGGTTATATTTGTTATTCTGCTCAGATATTAGATAACTCCATTTTTTTATGGATAATTTCAGTTTTTGCAAATCGATGGTGATACCTTTTTTAAGTTTTATTGTTCGATAATTGTGTAATTCATATCTAACAGGTTTATGATTATTAGGCTGACACTGCTGCCTCAGTTCAAACAAGAGAAAATATCAACGGGTTCTTGACGAGTGTTAAACAACGTGACCTCGCAAAAGCAGAGGTTTCTCAACATACTAAACAGTAGGCCAGCTGCTGATGTTGAATTATTCCCGGTAAGTATCAAAATTATGGTTTCCCCTTTTATTTTTTACACTTGGGTATTTAGTTGAAGTTGATTTAGCTCTGCATTTTTTAGCTGTAACCCCTTTCTCTGCTATGTTTTTTGCTTTGTTACTTGTCTTAGGCTTTGAAGAATTGGGTCTTAAGGTGTGTTGTATACTTGTCAGCAGTAACAAATTACTATGCTCTGATATTATCAAAATATAATGATGCAGTAATAATATATACATATATAAGAAACTGTTATTGGTAGGATCAACAAGTTTGGGGAATCCCTGAGATGAATTGATATCCAGTTGGAAGCATTTAGACAATTAGACTTAACTTTTACTTTCTTTCGTTCCAAAAGTAAATTAGCTTGTATGTTCACCTGTTAGTGAATTAGAGGGGGTGAATCTTGGATACAGCCTCTTTGCTTGCAGGGGTAAAGATGTGTATGCCTTATTTGAATATGTATTAGTGAGCATGATGGACGAATTTTGCAAGAAGATCCAATCTTTGATGTTTTCCTGTTTATTTAATTGTGCTACCTCCATAACCTTTTAATGGGGCTGGCAAAACTTTGCTAACTATAAATCAATATTCAAAGGATATTTCATTCTCGAGCTTTCACTGAATAATCACTGACTATCAATGGTTAAAATTATTAAAAATATATAAATAACTCGGATATAAAACTAGGAATCAATAGTAATTATTATGTTAATAATCAATTAATAAACTTAAAATTTGTAATCAGTGGACTTTATTTAAGATATAAATTTTTGGGGGGGCATTAAGTGGCTAGGGACTTAGGCATATCTGCCTCATTGGCCTTTAGTATTTTGCGGCCATGCTAATGAGGTTGGGGTCATTAGGTTTGCAAGTCTTGCACGCTTGAGTTGATTGTTCATGAAAAGCAGCTATGCATGAATTATGAAGCCTAGAAATTAGTGTAGTGTGTTATGTTAAATCCTAATTTTCTGCTAAAAAACTTGCATCTTTATTTCTTGATCTCGATCTCTCTCATTCTGGGTAAGACTTGGATCTATAAGACTAATAATATGCTTTCAAGTATTTTGTTTAATTGATTCTTCTATAGCCACCTTGCGAAACTAAAACCAGTTTGTTCACTTTCCTTACCCAGATCATAGATCTTTGTGAGAAGCGCTTTTCAGATGAAGAGATTACTGATATGGTAGAGATGCTGAAGAAAACATTGCCGCCGCCTGTCAGCACAAACCCTGGAGAAATCACCAAGGATGGTGAAGAAGAAACTGCAGCACTGAAAAATGAGAAAGATAATGAGACTATTCAAGACCAGAATGAAGGTGGAGAAAAAATGGACACTAGTTAAGATCCTAGTTGTGAAAACAGAATTTCGTGAATAAGCGCCAGAGGATCTCTAGTTGTGGCGAGTCAATAAAAAGAATTCTATACGAATCTACGACCAGTCGTGGGTGCTTGTATGAAGGGTGCTTTTGATAATGTCTCAGCAATATTTTATTAATTGCTTTTTTCTTTGCAGTGTCACGTAACTGCATAACTACTATTCTACTGCACAAATTTTTGCATTAACAATTTAGCATGTGCTTGTGCAGAACGATTCTTATTTAAGTCAGTAGACATTTTTTTTATTTAATAATTTCAGTTAGAAAGTTCCAATATGCAATTAAGGGACTCTTGGTAAGAAAATTATATGTTGAAGCACTAACAATATACAAATAACGGGTTCTAAGAAGACAAATAAACAATCGTGATAATACCTTTTAAGATATGACTTATTTGGAACAATAGTTTAATTGGTCTTTTTCGTTAACTTTTTAGATTGTTTGACGGGCTTCTGTCAAAACAGTTTCCTTGTATTATGAGTTAGTGTGTTTTATCCCCCAAATTTAGACTCGTACTTGGCGAGAGAAAGGAGGTAAGGGAATAAAAAAGAGACCAAAGTATGTAACTGGAGATTCAACATTTAAGTATTCATAATTTATATCTTTGTAACTTAATGAAGTAGATTATAGGAATTTGTGAGGAGCGGTTTAAATTATAATGAATAAGATTGTAAATATCTAAGCAATACACATACAAAAATAAGTTATTAATATCAACCTATAAAACTTGTATATGGCTTTTAAATAAATAAATAAATTTAAATTAACTTTTAATAAATTAATTTCAAATAATTCACGGATGCCTTAAATTATTTACATCTGTGACTTAAATTTATTAAGCTCTTACCATTTAGAGTAAATTCAGAGAGTACGTTTGATTTTTATTTTAAAAACAGTTTTTAATTTTTTTAAAAAAAATTTAATACTATACTTAAATTTATTAAGCTCTTACCGTACAGAGTAAATTCTAAGGGTACGTTTGATTTTTATTTTAAAAACAGTTTTTAATTTTTAAAAATAAAATGTAATACAAATTAGTATTACATTTTATTTTTAAAAACTAAAAATTATTTTTAAAATAGAAATAAACATGCTCTAAGTATATTTTCTTTTTCATCAAATTTACATATTGTCATTTACAATTTTACTGACATTGATAAATTTTATTCAAAACATTTATTATATCAAAATATAATAACTTTTTTCAATAAAAAAATTATATTACTCATAATATTTTTACAATAATACCTTTTAAATAGAAATAATAAATCAACAAATTTAATATATATATTTTATTAATATTATATATCTTTCCTAATTTTTTAAAAATTATTCCATGTTCTTGTTTATTTTGGAATTTCAAACTTAGACATTTCTTTAGAATCAACGGCAAAGACGTCATCGTTTTCCCTTAATTTAAACATCAAAGCTACATTTTACACACATAATCACAACGTAAAGAAAACTATTTTAACTTAAACTACTCACTCACTTGATAATTAAAGTTAGCAACTTCTAAGCCTACGAGCGAGTCATCATCTTCTTGAACTCTTCGAAATTGACGTTGCCGTCGCCGTCGGCGTCCACGTTTCCAATCATCCTCCGGCAATCACTCAGCGAGCATTTCTCCCCCAACCTCCGCATCACCGAGTGCAGTTCCTTCGCCGAAATCAACCCGTTCTTGTCCAGATCGTACATCTCAAACGCTTCCCGGAGCTCTCTGTTGTCGCCGCCGGCGCAATGGAACTCGCCGAACTCCTTCAGATCAATGTAACCGTCGCCGTTCTGGTCAAGCTCCGCCATCATGCGCCTCACCTCCTCCGACGTCGTTTTGGATCCCAACGCCGCCATCATCTCCTTCAGCTCCGTGCACGAGATCTTGCCGTCGCCGTTCTTATCGAACTTGTTGAAGATCTTGCGCACCTCTTCGTCCATGGCGTCGCTGAGAGAGAAACAGAAAGAGTTCAGTTGGTTTTGCGTGAGTCGCGCTTTATAGAAAGCGCGATCGGCGATTGGGTCACGCAAACGCGTTAAGTAGGAAACAAGTTGAGGGAGAGAGGAACTGTGTGAGAGCCAAACGCGGTGTTGAGTGTGGCGGAAGTGAGGAAGTTAGTTAATTGAAAGCGAAGGAAGGTGTTTATTGTCGACCACAAGAAAGGCGGACACGTGTCTTATTCTCATGGAGTGCACGAGAATTGAGATATCATGTTCTAATCGGCTACGTTGAAAAATGGTCCCAAATAACAAATGCCTTATGTTTTTTCGTTTTTTTCAAACGCTCTTCCAGAAACAAACCTCACATCAAACATACGTTGCTTCAGAAGTTTTTTTTTTTTTTAAATTGTACTTTATTATTTAAAATATCTCGTAATATTATAATATATTTATATTTTTCTAGCAAAATATCTTAATACATTTTAAAAATTTTAAATCATAAATACAATTATTATAATATTTTAAAAATTAAAAGATATTTATATTTTTATCGCACACAATTTCCTTTGATAGGCAGCAGCATTATTGAAGGCGGCAAGCAAATTTTTTCTCTCAAATATGTAACAGAATTATATTTATTGTAATTTGAAAATAATTTTTTAGTAATTAATTTACGTATTCATTAATTTCAATTATGTATACTTAAAGTTAATAATTAAAATGTATTTACATATATAAAGAGAGAGGGAGTGTACGAAATAAGCTGTGAGCAATTGACGGTGATTATGCATGCTCACATGGTGACATTGTTACAGAAGGGTAGAGTATGGCCTACATTCTCACATATCACATGCTGAGATATGTGATGTAAGTGACACTTGTGGTGAAATGTTCATTGACTTCGGCCCACTAATTGGATTGCATTTCTATACTTTAATTATTAAAAGGTTAATGTTATTTCAGTTAAATGAATACACATTTAATCGGCTTATATTTAAGAAGTTAACACAAGTTTGTAATTAAATAGGTTAGTTTGTAGGATGATCTGCATCAATATTTTTAAAATTTTATTTATATTTTATTATTGTTATTTTAAAATAATTAAAATTTATATTTTTTAATTTTAAAAGTATTAAAATTTGATTTTTTTCTTATGGGTTAACCAACAAATTCATGAGCTGAATCTATTGCCTCCAGCAGAAGCTAACTCTGATTCATTGCATCAATTCAATTTTGAAAGGAGGGACTTTTATTGCGCACTGTTGACGTAGGATTTGGATTTTATGCAACCAGACACAGAGAGGACCGTCCAATTTTCATCCAACGGCTCAGAAGTTGCAACAGTTAGACGATGTAGATTTGTGTGCATGTTACTTTTCAATTTTTGAACCGTTGGATGAAGATCGCAAGGTCCTCGTTGTTTGACTGCAGTGAACATACTATTATAACTTTCACCTGTAAATATGCATAGATTCTAGATTGAGTATTCGGGTGTTTAATCCATAGTTTTCATAAATTAAAAGTCATAGACTTGAGCCAATAGCATTTGCTACAACATTGAGGAGTGTTAATTAAATAAGATTTCATGTTTTATTTTAATTGCAGCGATGATATGCTGCAATATGTGGTAGGTATAAAAAACAAAATGCATGCCAAATAGATCAATGTAAGTCGAATAAAAGAGAATCAATCTGAGAAATTTGTCTCTGGAATTTATAGTTTTTGTACAATGTACCAACTCAGTCTATGAATCTCATACATCATTTTGATAATCTTTTTAATAATTTTTTACTTGTCAACTAAAATTTATTAAAAATTATAAAAATAATAATTAAATTATAAATGAGAAAGAGTGAGACTTGTATAATTTTTTAAATAAATTTGAGTTAATAATTTAGAGTGTTATTAGCATTTTTCAAAACAACATTATTGTTGTTGTAGCTTAGGAACCCTTTTCAGTTTTAAGTGATTGTTGTTACTGTTCCTTTTGAGTGTTTCACACTTTGGCTTTATCTTTGATTAATCAAGTTATTGTGATAATATTAGTATACTATGTCAAGATCTTCCTAATTGTTCTATAAGTCTTAGTGCATGTTGTTGAAATGGCGTTTATTAAAAGGTGGATCTCGTTAACACAATAGAGTTGCTTTATGTTAGGCTTTACAGTTTTCAACGTGAAACCAAACATGCAATTAGACAGAACCATGCAAGTTAATACACATAGCCGATGCAAAAGTTGTCAAATTATGAGTACATGGAAGACAACAGAAGATATCATTATTTAAGGTTTCCATACAAATAAATAGGGCATAGTTTGTATTCTTCAATATCACTAGGGACTTTTTGTTCCCTTTTATTGAATACAAGTTACATGGGACATAAAGTATTACTATTTAGCAATACATCTCTAATGGCTCCAATCTAATTAATTAAATATTATTTTCAGATACATGAAGAGATTTAATTTTTCTCATAAAATGTGAAGATCCACATGATAATGCTGTTACTTGTTAACTGTTCCATTCACAATAGCTTTCTAAAGATCTATTTTCTATAAGTCTTTTCAACTCGTGAGCCAATATTTATTTTATTGTGGCCCTCTGATGCACCTTCAGAGATGGCTACGTTAACAACTAACAGATAATTTTTTGCTGCTTATTAATGTACCCTCATATTCCGACCACATTAAGAATTGACTTCTAGCACAATAAATGCATTGCATGCATCATTCCGAAGTTTTGATTATTTAAATAAACTAAATACAGATAAAATGTTTACAAAATATTTAAGAGAAGATTGACTTAATTGATAGAAGAATTATTCATTGACGATTTGTGCATATCTCATTATATTTAAGGTTGATTGAAGAAATTTAAACGTTGATTAATTAAGACAAATAGAATTTTCTTTTAATTTAATAACTAATCAAAGAGAAAAAAATAATAAATTACACATGTCATGAATCCTTAATTACATGAGAAATAATATATATAGAAATTATCTCACTATAAAAAAATGAGGATAATTGGATAACCTTTTCACAAACAAAAGGAGCATTTTGGTTGAGAGAATAACAAAAGGAATGACCCAGGCCCAACGAAAATCAGGGGAACAGACGAGGAGCAAGCGAGTTGCTAAAAGTAATGGGCTAACTAGACTTTCCGGCCCAAGCTTGGTTTCCAGTTTTTTAATAGGGTGGGCTGGTCTATTATTTTTTCAGGAAAGTATCTATAGGATGCTATTGAACCAAGAGTTAATAATCAACCTTTCTTTCTTTCTTTTGTTTTTGGTCCAATGTAATAATCAACCTTAGTGTGCTCTTTTTCTGAAAAAAAAAATGGTAGCAGTAAACCTTCTATTCGTTCCAAAAATTACGATCTTTTACTTGCCGTTGTTCAGAGTTAAATTAGTTTGTATTGAAAACCATACCGGGAGGTTTTTTTGTTGTTAACTATAGAATTGAAACCTATCGCAGGTTGTATATATTAATGTTAGTGATTATTAGGATGTGGGTAAGTTCTCTATTGAGCTCTTCAAATTTAATTAAAATTTTATTTTATCAACCAAATAACATTAGCTCAATATATATCCCCTAATTTGGAAAAAAAATCTACATAAATGAAAGCCAATAATGAGATACTACAAGGCAAAATCGCTTTTGTATAAACCGCCATAATGGTTAATCACACCATGGTTTAACACATCATTGTTTTTTGGCTAATTATGGTTTGCTTTCCTAGGTAACATGATGTTATATAGGATAGACTAATATCCTTTATAAGAGGGGGCATGCATGTAGGACTCTACCACATCTCATATAGCAAAATGACCCAATTTGGTAAAACACTTTCAACCATTATCTTAAAGACCATGTACCTCCATTCATGGTGGAAAATTTTGAATTTAGCTAAGTTTAGTAAAGCAGTTGTGAATTGTTATCTTGGTGACTAAGTCTTATTGTGAACAAAAAGGAAATCCCATCTGCTAAATATGGCCATAGCTTATCCAAACTGTTTATAAGCCTAGCTCCTAGGCCTTTAACCTCTCAATCTCCATTTTCAGTGCAACCCCAAAATCAGAAGAAACTCATTCTCATACATACAATACAAACATTCAACAATGGCTGATGATCCACAAGATGTAGCTGATAGGGATCGCATTTTCAAACATTTTGATGCCAATGGTGATGGCAAAATCTCTTCACAAGAGCTTGCTGAGTCACTTAAAACACTTGGATCAGTGACCGAGGACGAAGTGCTAAGGATGATGGCGGAGATTGATACAGATGGTGATGGCTTCATTTCATACGAAGAGTTCACAGAGTTTGCAAGAGCTAACCGTGGCCTAGTGAGGGATGTTGCCAAGATTTTTTAAGTTATTGTCTATATTTCACCTTTCTTAGTTTTTATTCTTTCTTGTGTTATACTGTCAACAATATTGACAAATTACAATCAATGGTCATTGTGTTCTTCTTTTATATATAGTTATATCATATACAATGGAGCAATGATAGGTTCATGATGTTAGCCTCATTGGGATTTTGTTTTAGTCGTCGTATGGTTCATATTTTTTCACATGTACATTATTATAAAGCATGGCTCTTGACCTAGACTTTAGAGGCAGTTGGGATGCTCTCATCCCTATTGGGACCTGCTTTAAAACAAAATGCCAGTGGAGTTATCTACACAAAAATCTTAAGGTTGTATCTAGACACAACACATCTTTTCTTTCTTTCCTTTTTATTTTGTTGACACTGACGTAACACAATGAATAAAAGAAGAGACAATAATTGCACAAAGCTGTATGTTAAAATCAAACTACATAGGTGAATTAGTAAATAAATAAAATTAATAATAAGGCAGATGCTCAAAAATAAATTTCTTAATTAAAAAATAATCTTTACTTAATATATTACCTCCATTTTAACCTATTCTTAATGCATTCAGTTTCTTTGTCTCTTTGGTCTTCTTTTTCTTTTGTTCGTTTAGGGCCATAATGAATTAGGAAAGGTAGAAGTAGAAAAGGGGTCTTAATATGGCAATGTGCACCTGATAAATCAAGCTTTAGTCTGAATGGCTATTCCTACCCCCCCATCCCACCAAAAACATGAACACTTGTGAACCAAGAACTTATAGGGATTAGAAATAATAACAAAAGCTTTATCCCTCTTGGGTGAAGCCAGTAACATGAATTATATAAAATTCATAAAATTTACCAAGAATTGAACATGAACCACAAACAATGAATGAAAATCTATTACACTTTACCCTTTGAGAAAAGGGAAAGGTAAAAAGGTAAAAGAAAGATATCTACACATAATCTTCATCTGAGCTCCTACATCTATTTACAATTTCAACTCGCTTAAATCTAATCTCTAGCACTCATAATAACAATCATGGCAAAAAATAAAAGGTTATTTCAAGGTTGTCATCATGTTTTATCGACCATAGAGATAATCATCATCCTCAAATTCTGCAACTCCTAGCATTGCCAAAGCCAAGTGACTTTTCATCTCATTATTTGTTTGTTGTAATTGAGAATAACAATCAATCACGCATCCATTCCCAAGAAAACTGGACTTCTTTCTTTTAGAGAAAAGAGGTTCTTCTTCACCTTTCAGTATTGCAATAATCTCATGTATGCCAGGTCTCCGAGATTCTTCATTTGTGACACAGGCAGCTGCTGCTTCAATCATTCTACCCATTTGATTTGAGAATCTCAAACTGCACTTGAGTTGAGGATCAATCAACTCTTCAATGGCTCCTTTCCCTTTTAGTAGAAAAGGTTTAGCCTGCATATGAATGGGTATCAGCACAAATGTGGCCATAAATGCCAAACTTTGGTGGAGGTTTTCTATTACAAAGGAAAATATATAATTCACTATTGAAACAGAAAAGCATATAAATAAACTTCCTAATTTCATTTATCTACCCAAAAAAGGATATTAATTAAATTCAAAATACAAATCTTCATTGTCTCTTGCTAAAAACAGTATCTGCCAAAACTATTAAGGCAAACTAGAAATCCAACTCTCAGACATTACAGTTAGATTAAATAAGTTTGATGGCACAAGTAAATAAAGTAAACCATTTTCAATTTTCATTTGATTCGTAATAGGAGTAAACAGTTAGGATAAAACATTGTTCTGTGATCTAGAAGCAATAACTAAGGTGAAAATGATAATATTGTTTTACAGTACTATTGGAAAGGGGTAGATTATGCAGCGTTTTGTTTATTATCAATCACATCCACAAAAGGAATAAGTTCAACTATTGTATGATCAATAATTAAGGCAACTATGCAAGAATTAAAGTGTTGACTCACCCATAAGACCAAGTTCTCCTCTCCTGGAGACCCTCTTGCTTCGATTGGCTTTCGGCCAGTGATGAGTTCCAATAAAACCACACCAAAAGCATAAACATCAGTCTTGTCTGATACTTTCCCATGTTGGAAATACTCAGGAGCCAAATATCTGTTGCAAAAGCAGAGGTATAGAAGATTTAATTTCAGGAATTATAATATGAAAAAAAAAAATGATACCAGCAGACCAAAATTTTGCAGAACCAATACAAAAGGAATAAGTTTGTACCCAAATGTTCCTTTGACAGTTTTGCAAAGGAAAGGAACAGAAGGTGCAGAAGTCCATGTAGCTAATCCAAAGTCACATAGCTACAATTTAACAAAAAAACAATCAGAACAACATGCAACCGGGTTGCCTATGAGATAGTTTCCACGATACTAATCAATTCACAAGAAAACATCTCACCTTGGGAGTCTTCTTGGATGAAAGCAGAATATTTGAGGGCTTAATGTCTCTATGAACAACACATCTTTCAGTTCCACTATGCAGATAAGCCACTGCTTCAGCAATCCCAATTGCAACTTTGTACCTCACAGGCCATGGAAGTGGTGAACTACCCTTCTTCCTCCCTACAAAACAGGCATGCTAGGATCAACAAAATTCACCAATTCAAAACCTCATAAAAGAGAAACCAGGGAGAATGAATCTGAGAAATGAGTACCATGCAAGTGGCGCTCCAAGCTTCCCCCTGACACATACTTGTACACCAAAAACAAACCCTCCTCCGAGTCAATACAAAACCCCAGAAGAGGAACAACATTTGAACTATGAAGAGAACTTGCAATCATCAATTCTCTACAAAAGGCCTTAGCAGATTCCTTATCTTCCTTGTCCAATCGCTTAATTGCCACAGCAGTCCTCAAAAGCCCAACTCTTCCCCTAAAAACACAGCTCAATGCCCCTCTCCCCAACACTCTACCTACCCATTCCACAACAAAAAAGAACAAATCACGATCTCACACAAAGGAATCAACTTTCATTAAAACAACACAACACTCAAAAAAACAAACCTTTGGAAAAATTCCTAGTAGCAGAGAGAATTTCAGCATAGCTGAACCTGATCAAAGTGTGAGCCACAGGGGATATGCTTTTCTCCAATGACTCCATTCTCCTGCACTTGAGCTCCCTGGCGCGTGATTCACTCATCCCATTGTCCAAATTCACCATCAAAACAGTTGCAGCAGAGGAAGAACTCATATTCAACGACTCCAACTCAACCTGAGAACAGAAACTGAACCTGAAAGAAGAGTGAACCGATTGAGGGTCAGCATTGCTCAGTTCTGCTCCACACCCACCAGACTCCGCAAGCAACCATGCCTTGTTGTGCTCCAAATTCGTCTTCTTGTGACCGTTGCCGTCGTTTTGGCTCCTCCGGCGACGGGAAGGGTTAGCAACACAGGCAAGGCCAAATTCCCATATCATTTTTCTCAAAAAGGTTGTAAATTTGAGCTTGTCGTAGTCACAGTAGTGATCTGCAACTAAAGATGAAGCATTTGGGTCATCGGAAAGGTCACTGGAATCAGTGCAGGTTCCTTGGGAGAAACCCATAATGAAGTAGATCCCAACAAAAGCACAAAAACCCAGAAAAACCAAATGGGGTAGAGAGAGAGAGAGAGAGAGATGAACCAATTAAACCCCCCCCTAAAAAAAAGAACTGAAAAAGTTAAAGCTGCTTTGCTTGTGGGGTGGGAGAGAATTTTGAAAAGAAAGAGAGCTGTGAAGAAGGCAAGACTAGGTATAAATATATAATTGAAATTGAAATCAAAATTGGATTTAATGTAATGTTGGAGAGTAGTGGGAGAAGGTGAAAAATGAACTAATGAAGATGTGTTGTTGGTTGGGAAATAAGGAATCTTTGTGTTTTTAAGGACTGAAGAAGACAGCAAACCCACGAGACAACATCCTTAGTTGTTAGCTGTTAGATAAGTTCCGAACCAAAATTTAATTGAGTTTTAATTTGGACAATCTTTTATACATCTATATCTAATATACTTAGAGCAATTTTAATACAAGTAATGTTATTGCTTAATACGGGACTAAGTAGAAGGAGTAAGAAGTGTCTTAAGATTTAGAAAAAAAAATATTGACAATAATTTATCTTTTAAAAAATCAATTACTTTATTATTATATTTTATTTAATACATTTAATACACAATTTATAAAATAAAAAAATATAACAATATTCCTTATTTTAAAGTGACTATTATTTCATATTGAAAGAGGTGTCAAGCTAAGTGCCCACATGCTTTGATCATCATTAGCGACGAAAGAGGACTATTAATTGAGTAATAATTAACATTCTTGTTTTTCCCCAATGAGTAAAGGGATTTGCCAAATTATGATGATCTTAAGTCCCAACGTTCACCGATTACTAATTGAGTGATTGTTATCATTTAGTTTCTGTTTTTCCCGTGAGTACAGAGAAATTATATTCATTAATTCCATATTTTTAGTCTCTTCATCTTTAAATCAAATTTTTATTTAAAAATTTAAAAAAGGGTTGGCTATATTTTTTTAATTATACCTTCTTTATTTAACTTGTTTATACTTTCTATTTTTATTATAAATAATAAAGATCTAATAGAAAATCCAATAATTATAATATACAGTGTGTTCATCGACCACATAATAGGGGATCATATATTAAAAATGTAAAAGTTGTTTAATGTTTACTTTTAAATATTTTAAAACATTCACTTTTTCATTTGCCCAATTTTTAAAAAAATGTTTTTATCCATGGATTAAAAAAAACATTTTAAAAAAAGAAAGTAGCAAAAAGATTTATTCATTTTTTAATGAAAGCTTGGTCTTCTATGAGATGCATGAGATATAAGAAGTTAATTTGCAAAATTAAGATGGAGAGAGAGTTGTTTGTTTATTTCTAGGTAGAAATTACTTTTCTTCTTTGCTAATTGGGAAGGAGACAAAAAATAACACAACGTGGTATTATGAAATAGTGTTAAATAATAAAATAAGAATCCTAACATTGGGACAAAGATCTTTGATTGGTTCTCTGAATATAGAAACATGGAAGCAGTATCATAGGCTTTGGAGTTTGGTGACCATCCAACGGCTCACAGACCCAACAACCACTCATGACACCCCAGCTTCGCTAGTCTTGTTCCCTTGTCAAAGCTAAACATTTTTTAATTTAATAACACACATAATTTTTAATACACTATTAATTATTAATTAAAATTTAGTAAAAGTTTTAAAAAGTATATTTTTATTTAATTTTATGTAATATAAATTTAATCATGCAATATTTTCAATTAAAAATTATATATTAGACAATTGACGATAACAATGATCCTAATTTCTATACAGTTTATTGGTTTGAGTAACAAGGAATTTAGTTTTTATTAAAATGAATATTTGATTTTGGGTCTTTTAAATAAATAACTTTGAAAGGTTGTCTTTCAAATAAATACACCTAAATTAACTTAAATTAGTAACAAAAGTGATAAAATATAGGTCAACCTGCCTCAACCTATAAAAAGGACAGTTCAATATAATTAACTTTAAATTAAATAAATACTAACCCGTATTTTAAAATATATTAACGAGTTAACGAATCAACTTACCTAAATAATGAAATATATTATAAATAAATAAATAAAAGCAGGAATAAGAATGTGAATAAAAAAAGTTTAAGTTTTGATTTGAATATTTAAAAACTTAAGTTAATGAAATAAAATTATTTTACGTGTGAACTATTGGAAACTTACAACTTCCACATATCAAAGATAATCGGTAAACAAGAGTAAAATTTAATTTATTCTTATTTTAAATATAATTTTTAAAATAGCTAGTACAAAATAAATAATTTTGAATTACACAGCATTAAATAGCAGTATAATATAATTAAATTAAATTAAGAATATAATTAGAGAAATTATAGTAGGCGGTGAATGAGATCACATGGACGGCTACCACATCTCTATCTTTTTGCCTTAATCATCATTCATCTCTAAGTGGTCAATTAAATATTTATATTCATATTCATATTTATAAAAATTAATTAATGATGACAGAAACCCACAAATCATAACATCTCTTTCCATTTTCTAGGCAGTAAAGTTAACAACATATTTTTAATATAATAAATTAAAATTTATTTTAAATTATAAAAATATATTAATTACACTTTTTATTTTTAAATTAATATTTTTAATATTTTTATAATAAATTTAAAGTTATAATTAAAAATATATTAAAAAAATTTGTGTGAAGGCTGAGTTCGGGTAAGGAGGTGGAGAGTTGTTGGTCAACTGAGAGTTGAGAGTGGTCAACGAACGCAATGCAAGCATGCGAGAAGAAGTAGGGCCCACACTGTCATCTTTTAATTTTTGCCTGACACGTGTTGCAGCTGTCGGTACCCAATCAAACCTACCATCAATATCATTAGGGACTAATTTAAACCATAAAGTTCCCACAGAAAATCATCAGAAACCATTTTAATCATATATTTTTATTAAAAGTATTGGTCAAAATTTTAATAAATAAATTTTTATTAAAATATGTTAAAAGGTGTTAACAATGTATGAAATTTTTATAATAAAATAAATAAGCCATTTATATATAGAAGACACAGCTGTATGTTTTTATCCATTGTTTAAAAAAAATTGGGTAAATTGGTAATTTTGATTTAATTTCAAAGTATCAATTACATCTATTTATTTCTTTTGAAAAAATCTATATTAGTTTATCATATTTTAAAAAATATAACTCAATAAATATGCATTGTTATTATGAATGCAATCCTTTAGAGATTATATATTAGAATATTCATGCATTGTTATATGCTTATTGATAATAAAGAAGCAAAATTGGTATTTAGAGTTGTTTACCTGACATTACTCTTCCAAGTTTGTAATATATGATTATGGCTCACTTTTGAAATGGTGTGTTTCTGCACTGATTTTTTAGGTTACTGTCATGTCGTAGGCATTTCCATTACCTACCATTTAAAAAAAACAGAACTTAGAACATAAATATGTGTTCTCTTTATACACCTGCACATATACATGTCTCTCTGTATATATACATATCATAAATTAGTTAATTAATTAGCTAAATTTTTAACATTAGCTAATTATTATTTTTTACCACATTCATATGTGAAAGTTACTTCGAATCCCAACTAATTAAGTCAAGTAGGGTGAACTCCATAGAGAAAAGTAAAGCTCTCCTAACATCTAATTTTTCCCATTCAAAATGCAAAATTTATGTATAAATTGCATCTACATGGAATTATGGAAATCTTTCTAACAATCTACAATCTGATTACAGTAATCATGCAATTAGCTTAAAGTAAAAACTAAAGTCTCTCTAATGTAGACTGTAGAGATTCAAATCAATAGGAAAAAGCTTAAAAATATAACTTTATTGTTAAACTTAAAAAAAAAAGGGGTCCTAATTGATGGGTATCCAATTTTTTACGAATAATAATTGCAAAAGATATCAACATCTGCATTGACTATGCTTTTTATAAATGAATTCATGGCTCGTGTTTCAGTGTAACAATAACTTAATTGGCCAGGACAAACTCAGTAAAGGCATGATGATGTTTGAAACTTAAACACTGAAAAAAAGGAAGAGTTTTATTATTTCTTTACACATATTTTTTTAATAATTTGTTCTTATTTGAAAAATAAAAAAAATAAAGTAGTTGTTTTATTTAATATTTCTTCTAATATTTTATATATACAAATTTTTCAATGTGTGACTAAAGGTATATAACAAAAAATTAATAAATAAAAAATGTATTAAAAATTATAGTACTTAATATTATTATTGCATTAAATTTTATGATGTCATATAATGTTGGCAACACATTATAAATTTTTTCAACTAAATCACACAAAATAATTTTTCAAAGTAGTAATGTATTGATTACTAAAAAATTATTATAATAGTTCAAGTTCTTTTCAATTAAAGTCAAAATCTATTATTATAGTAATTGTTAAGGAGTTATAAATATTTAATAATAAAGATGTGAAAATAATAAATATTTTATAAATTGTATTATATTAAAGATTAATAAAGATATCTAAAAAATTAAAAATAGAAAAAGATAAATGAAACAATTAAAAATATTTATAAATATAAAAAGTAAAAAATTTAGAATTATTTTTTTAAAAAAAGAAGGAGAGCTCTTAGATACCAATAGATTGTGAAGCATAGCTAGTCCCAACAAGATGTACTTAGCAGCAAAACCCTTCAAAGGAAAATATTGAGTTATATTATTTTACCCACAGTTTCAACATTTTCTTCTGTGATTTTTTTTAAAATCTTTTTATATCACACTACTTATCTAAGAACCTGTTTGTTTTCTTTTTTAGATATAGATTTCTTTTTTAAAAAATAAAAATTATAAAATCTTGTTTGCTAATTTAAGTTTTCAAACCTATTTTTTAAAAAATTTTAATTTATTTTTTAAAACTAAAAACCAGAATAACTTCTAAGATATTTTTATTTTTATTTTTCTATTTCTTTAAACAATTTTGAAAACTAAACTAACAAACAAAGTTTATTTTTATTTTCTTCTTAATTTTTTTATAAAATTATTTTAAAATGTAATTTTTAAAAATTAAAAACAAAAACTAAATCAAACAAGCCCTAAAATTTCTTCTTTTCATATCTTATATCACTCTCCTACTTATAGAAAAAATTATAAGAATAGAATTGCTAAAAAAAATTATGTTAGTTTAGCATATTTCCACGGTTGGACCCTTACTTGAAATTTCCATTTACTTTTTTTCCTCTTTCTTTAACTTTTCTTTTCTTTCTTTCTATTTTTTTTTTATCTCTGGATCAATAAAAACAAAACCTCTCAGCAACTTGAAGTATTTTTCACAACATATGTTATACTAGTTAGTGAACAATTCACAAAAACTTTTACCACACTAATGTTCTGAATTTTGAACATTCTTCTATATATACCACGCTAATTATTCCACTTTGCATGTAGGTAGAGTTCATATACAACTCTCAAGAAGCCATAGGATCATGGGAGATTTTTGTGAAATAATTTTATTTAATGTCTTGCATACTATAATCTGCCATCCTTTTTATGTATACGATCGTTGAAAAAATGTATTAATTCCACTAATTGTACAGAGAAATTAAATTCGAAGATGTCAACTCAACTCAACTCAAACCTAAATTATTGCATTTTTTTTAATTTGTTGTCTTGGCCCTAAACATTTTTATTAACAACCATCGTTAATCCCACTTATCGATATTTTCTAAATCTGAAAGATGTGGAAACAGATGCTTAACAAATTATATACAAGACCTCCAGCACTAATGACCAAGTCCTTATCTTTTTCTTTGTCTTCTTACAAGGAATTAAGCCACTTTAACTTTCTTATTGTTTGGGTTTATTTTGTCAAGTGACACTTATAATATATCTTACGAAGCAAACAATCTAGGTTTGGTAATGTTTCATTTTCCTTAACCATCTATGGTTAAGGAAATCTTGTAAATATAAGATGATTGTGTACTACCGTATAGAAAGATACAAAATTTTCATCGATATGTCAATTATAGATGTTTCAACAAACGAACTAGTACAAATCATTACAACCCCCACCCCCAGAAAAAGAGAAATATACAAAATGACACCAACATGAATGGCGTACGTTGACTATAAAGTGATAAGGATTGAGGAAAATTAAACTTGATAAGTTAAGAAGTAACCTTTACCATATTAATGCATACCCTCTTCATAGTACAACCTTATAGCTTAAGGAACTTAAATAATCTTTATTGGTATAGCAGTGTCTTTTACTATGTCGATAATTAATTTCTAACTTTTCTTATGTGATCAAGTTATTCCTTCTTAATGATATTATTGAATATTGAACTTTTGTTTTGGTTTTATGTACAGTAACGACATTTTCAACTCAGATTTTGCGTCGATTAAAATTGAATTCCTTTTTAAATTTGTACGTCCACATCAACATAGAACACTTAAAAAATAATTAATTTTTATTTACGTGCTGGTTCAAATTATCAAATATAGATTAAATAGAAATTTTAACCACAATTAGATATTGATTAGCCGGTCATTTCAAAAGTATCGATCGTGTTGAACTCTATTTTCTCAATAATGTTACCTAAACAAGATTTCCGACAATGTACCCATCTAATACATAATGCTATGAGCCGAAAATTAGGAGTTTCATTAATATGATGTCAGACAATCTAAACAAAAAGTTTCTATCATAAATTGATGCTAAATGAACTCAGGGTTAGGCTTTTAAGAGTTAATTATTAAGCTGGTGGGTCTTTAGGAATTAAATGAACATCGCTTTGATTTGAAGTACGACCAATAACTATACTAGCAGTATATGGAAAATTATTCTAATATTTGTCTTGGGAATTTATATCTTTAATAGGAAGCGGTGTTGATTCCACGTGATTTGGTTCATTTCTTTGCATATAGGTTAGAATATTTACTCCAAACGTCACGTTCATGGAAAGTGAACAACTTAAGCATGTTTATGAGCCATTAGAGGAAGTGCACATGTGGTTAGCTTTTCACAGATTTTATAGCCACCATAAATGTTCCGTTTAATTAATTAGGCTTCAGTGATTAGAGTCTCTAGATGAAGATGAGTTGTGCTAACTCTTCTATTTGATTCATAATTACATTACCAATTGTATGAATTTACAATGCATTATTGTATTTTAAATGAGGTATAGTGTTTAAAAATGCATGCTGAAGCGAGTGGTTTAGCTTAACTCAATTGGTATTTCTTTTAGTCTTTGTCAGGGAGTTGCGGTTATGTGGTGAAGGGTCAAATCAATCAAGCCCCACATCACCCTTTTCCATTTTCTTTATATATATATATATATATATATATATATATATAAAGGGCATATTTTAGGCACTATTAGGCTTTAGGTTTAGCCAAACTGAATATAATATTTGTACAGAAGAGTTAAGTAGGACCAAAGTCTGCAGTATCATTTTCCATTGTCAAATCACATTGGAACCTTCATCAAAACGTGTTCTCAACCATTAAAATTTAACCTTTCAATAATGTTATCGATGGCTCACTCAATTTTGAAACCCCCTCACCTCACGCCTAAGGGGCATTTTCCTTGTATTATAGCTCCCATCATAAATCACATTACAATGAAAGAAGGCGTTTAACATGCTCCACACTTCGTTGGTTAACAAGTTTTCTTGATAAAATTGATAATTACAAGACTGATTCTTCAACATTTGTGAAATTATCTCTAGTAATATTTGTAAAATGTTCCCTAACTTCTTTTATGCCACCTCCTCCACAGCTGAAACAGAGTAACCTCAAGTATCTTACTCAAAAATATCTAGTTACTTGATCCTCACTTGTGTAATTGCTGGATTATTTTGCATTTACCCTCAAGATTTATTAATTACTAGATGAGCTAATTTTTGGTTTTGGTCATTTATTTATTTTTGAAGAAAGTACGGAAGTAATATTTTAATTAATTAAATTGGGATGACATGGTTGAAATCATAAGGTTCCTAAAAACAAAAAGACATATAAGCAGGTGTCCTAAGTTCATCTATGAAAGCTGGGTATTGTTCCTTAAACCAAACATCGTGGATGGAGGGAATGGTGAGCCTGATCTGTCACTAGTCACAACAGACCAATTCCCAATTTTTGTGTCCAAGTTCACTTTCAACAACCAATAAAAACTTCGCAGTAATCGGTTGAAAAATTGTATTCCTACGTCTCTTTTTCATAATTATTTCTGTTGTAAGGAAAGAGATTAAAAAAAAGGAGGAAAATGAAAAAAAAAATGTGATAAGATTGTGTGATGTGACAAATAAATAAAAGGGTAGATAAAAGTTGTAAAAAAAATGTTACAAAAAGTACATTTAAAAATAATATAACTCATTTATGATTGATGAAAAAGAAAAGAAAAACATCCAGTTATTGTCTGAATTGTTTGAAATAGAATAAAAAAATGAAATACTAAAACATGATAAAATGTATTCAATTTCGTTCCATTTATATAGTTATTTTTCTTTTCTAACCAAACTTATTGTTTAATAGTTCCTTTACCATTTCATTTATTTTCCAAACAAACGAATGAAGACTTTATTTTCATTTTATTATGAAAATATCAAACAATTACACAATAATATTATTACATTTCATTATACTCAATTTTATTTCAGTGCATATGTCATCAGATATCTAAACAAAAGACCGTGTGACACAAAAGCCACTGGAATTGGACTAGTGAGAAAAGACTTATGTAATTTTTACAAGTTCATATGTTAAAAACTCGTTATCACCATTATATGAAGAGAAAAAAATAACTAACATGAAAACTTGGAGGTGCGGGTGACAAAGAAGGAGAAGCCCATGTAAAACAACTAGAATTGGACTGTGGAGGTGAAAGGTTTCGCAGGTGGCCCCGTAGAACTGAGCTTTTTGTGTCAAGACTATAACTATAGTTACTTTTTTGGCCGAAGACTACAACTAAAGACCTCCCGTGATTTTTAGGATTTGTATTTGATTTTTTTTGTGTTTAGAGTTTTTAAGATTGTTGAACTCTAAATTTGTGCTTTTGTACTCAAGGGTGATACAATGCCAGGTCAAAGCATAAGAAAAGAGCCCCAAAGACAAAACGGAACAAGCCAGGCCGCAGGCAATCAATGTCCCAAGATGCTAATAAAAAACATTTATTTATTGACCAAAAATAATTTATTTGCTGTGTACTAGTGATTTAGCATCGTTTGTTTCCTAAGGGCCATTAGACTTTTTAATCTCTGATTCCTTGACCCAAAAGAAAAAATAACCCTCCCACGAAAAATGGCCATGTCCTTTGTATTAAAAAAATATGTATAATTCAAGTCCTCAAAAGTGACAAAAACCATGTATTTTCATTTCTTGATAAGAGACTAAAATCAAATCTTTCTTTTAAATGAAAGAAATGAAAATAAATAAAATTTGAACTCGAAAAAAAAAACATCATATTTTCGAGGTCTAAAAACATATTTAAAGAATATAACAATTTTCAGTAAATGTCAAGTGTTTTTGCTCAGGAGTGTCACGGGGTTAACCTTATTTAAGCCAGATTTACAAAACAGAAAGACAAAATGGGTCAAATTAGAAAGTAAAACTCAAGTTTTCAAGCAGGGTTATCAAGAAGAAACTCATGAATTTGATAATGCAGCATCTAAAAGCCACTTAAAGATATAACTGAAATTCATGAGGATAATTTTATTAACAAAAAATTAACACCAAAATGTATTGAATGCAATGACGAGAATTGATATTCGATAACCCTTTCCAACGTCAAATTGGTTTGAGATCAATCAGTGAATCATCTATTTTGGAAAAAATTAATCCATTGTATGAAAAAATTGTATAAGTAGCCTAAATTTATAATCCAGTTCAAATCAGAAACAAATGACAAACAGAGACCAAGATTGATGAATAAAGTTTTTTTCTATTATATATGCCTGAAAAGAAAACCTATAAACTCCATCCACCTTTTACCTTTTAAAGGAATTCCAGTAGGATCTTTTGGAGTAACTATATACAGAGATGATGTATATGCCACTAATATATAGTCTACATATTGCTTGGCAGAACCAAAGTATCACCTTAGATAACTGCTTCAAATTCCTTCTCCTGGCAAGCGGCTAAAAGTGAAAATTTCAAATTCAGCATTAGTATTAAGCTATGCAATTTTGGCAAACACCAAAATGCTTAATTAGATTTCAACTTTCTCAAAAGTTCTTCATACATAAATTCTTTTCTTTCTTTGAGCAGGCTTTGTCTCAGCTTAGACAATGTGGAAGAGGATATCTTGATTCCTCTGCCAATCATATCCTCAGCATACTTAACTGCTTCAGGGAGCCTATTTTGATCACGAAGCCCTAAAACCAGTAAATTTGCTGTACGCTCCAAATCCTTATCATAATTCTCCAGCAAGCATTTCCAAACTTTCATTGCCATAAAAGGATCCGCATTATCCAAGTAAACTCTAACAGCTGCATCACAATTAGCTTGGTCTGGAACACACTCATTTTTCACCATCTCAACAAACACCGCCGAAGCCTCACGCAATTTCCTTCCCTTGATCAAGAACTGAAACAACAAGTTATAAGTAAGCACATCTGGAAAAGCCCCTCTATAAACCATCTCATCCAACATCCTCCTAGCAGCATCTGTATCACTGCAATAGCAATACAAAGCAATCATCGAATTGTAAATCTGCGTGGTGGGTTGCAATCCAGTCTTCCCCACCATCACCTCCCAAAAAAACTCGGCTGTCCGAACATCACGTTGCTTAACACACTCATCCATTGCAACCTTGAAAAACCTCATCCCAGGGTAACAGCTCCTATCTCTCATTGAATCAAAGAACTTAATAGCCTCAAGCAACCCATCTGGCCCCTTAATCAATGTACACAAAAACGAATCATATGCCGCCACATTAACTGGATCCCAACCAATCTCAATAACCATCTCAGCAAAACTCTCCTTAGCACCAACAACACCCTTTTCACCCTCACTCTCCCACCCCTCCATCAAAATCGCGTAAGTATCTGCATCCGGCCTAACGAAATTCTTAGCAATTTGCAAATAATCACAAGCATCAATAGTCCTACCATCCCTGCATATAGCACTCAACAAGGAATTCAAAGCAACAACATCCCTAACGCATCCATAATTCTCCATAACCTCAAACGCCATAATGGCCTCACGAAGACGGCCGGCGGCGACATAACTACCGAAAACAGAGGCAAATGTGGCAAGTGAAAGCAACCCTTTAATGTTCATTGATTTAATAGCATCCCACATTGCATCAAAGAAACGATTTTTACCTAAGATATCAACAACGAGGTTCCATGAATAAGGGGTGAGGTTGTGGTTGAGTTGGTGAGCGCTCCAACGGAAGAACTTAACGGCCTGACCGGGGAACCCGTAAGAGAGTTTGAGAACAATTTCGACTTCTTGGGCGGTGACCGAAATGCCCGAATCTTGGAGGGTTTGTTCAACGGAGAGGGAAGGGGTGGTGGCGATGATGTGGCAGAGGGATTTGGTGTTGGATGGAAGGTTTGGAATGTCTTGGAAGGAAGTGAAATTGGAGCGTTTGTTGTTCGAAATTGGAGAAGCTGAAGAAGGTGACGAAGGAGAAGGGTACCCTCTCTTTCTGCTTTCTTTCATTTCACAGTTTGCTCTGTTCTGCTTCAACTGCAACTACTCGACAGAGTAGAATGAAACCCTAACAAGACAATGTCAGAAAAGGGTTTCGGAAAACTTGTTTTACCTTTTATGTTCTGGTCTTAACACAATAATACATCTAACGTAACCAATTTGAGAGGTATTAAATTAAATTCTGTGATTGATTAATTATTGTAATTTCTTTAATATTATTATAAAAATAAAAAAAGTATTAATTTTTTTAAATAAATTATTAATTTTATTATCTATCAATATAAAATTAATGATTAAAATTTAAGATTATTTTACGTGTAAGAGAGTATTAACTTTCTAATTATAAAGGTTATATATTTTATTAATTTTAATAATTATAACTAAATTTAAATATTAAAATTAATACTTTTTATTAAAAAATATTTATTACAATTTTATATTTTTAATCAAAAATATTATTTTTATATGCTTAAATTATTTATTATCTTTTATATAACTCTTTAAAAATAAAATCATCTATTTTATATTATGTATAATATATATATATATTTATTTATTTATTTTCTTAAAATATAATAAATTTTATTTTTTCTAATAAAACTTTATTATTATTACTTAATTATGCTTAATTCTAAGAGTTAAAGTTAATATTGTCATTCAAATAAAATTATTAATATAAATATTACATTTATTTGATTAATTTTAAAAAATTAATATTTTTAAGTAATTCATTTTTTTAAAAAATATCAATCTATAATTGTATAATCTAAATTAATAATTATTACAAATTTAAAATATAATTGTTATTATTATTTACTATGTATTTCTTATTATTTTTAATGTGTATCCGACAAATATATTTAAAAATTAGAAAATAGTATTTTTTAATTTATAACATTTAATATTAATAACACATTTATTTATGTGATATTTTGTTATTTTTTTATAAAAATTATTTTTTCTTTAAAAATCAATGTTGATTACGTCATTAATTTTTTTAATATTAAATTGTTATAACATTTATTATTTAATAATTTATTTGTCGTTTTCTTCAAATTTTATGGCATTTATTAGTGACAATCAATTTAAAAACCACGGCATTTAATTTCAATGAAATATATATATATATATATATATGAATAGTTATTCATTTAATAAATTTTTAAATATATATTTTATCTCGTAAATTTAATGATAAATAAGTTGAAAACATTGATAAAATTCATAAGTTGTATTTTATAAGTTTTTTCAAACGGACTCGTAATATATTTATTAATATGTAATTTTGTATTGTTGATTAATAGATAAATATTAAAAACATATTCTTATTTATTAAGTAAATTTATTAGAAATTAGAAAAGTATTAGAAACAATATTAGATTAAAAGAAAATTAATATAATTAATATAATTTTAAATATTTTTAATTAATAATTATGAGTATGTTAAAATGTGTGGTTGCTAACATTCATCTAATTAATACGAATATATCATAAAAATGTTTTTGTAATTAATTATTAATAAAATTAATAATTTTTATTGATGCTATAATTTATTTTTAAATGACAATATAAATAAAATACTATACTACCGCTGCATTCGAATTGAATTTCTACACACATTTTAGTTTATTTGGTAAAAATAAATAGACTCGTAAATAAATAAAACGAATGAACAATATACGCATCTTACAAAAAAATTTGTTCATTTTTCATAAATTATAATGCTAAAAATTTTATTTATTAAAATATTATTGATTTAGGGTGTAAGAGTTAGTGGACAAAAATCGTCCATAACAAGTAAGGATGTTCTTTAAAAATAATCAATATTTTTAACATTCTAAAAAAATATATTTTGAAATAAATAAAAATATACATAAATAATATTTAGATAGATATGAAACAAAAACAATATTTTTTAAATTTTCTTATTTTTTATTTGTATATTATATATATATATATATATATATATATATATTTAATTTAAACTCAAAATCGAAGATTAAGATGAAACAATTTCATACCAATTATTTATTTATATAAATATTTTTTACACTAATTTCACACTAAATAAAGATATAATTTTTCAAAAAATAATATATTATAAAAATATTTATTTCTAATATTTAATAAAAAATAATAATTATTGTTTTTATAAAAAAAATAGAAAGGGAATTTTTAACGATAAAATATATTTAAATAAAAAAACTCAATGTTCAATGTTTTCCTTATTAATATATCTATTATAAGTTGCTATAAACAAACTCTTAAAATACTTATGAATATAAATTTTTTTATATTATTAATTAATAAAAATACACGATAAATATAATTTTAAAATTAATTATTAGTGAAGTTAATAATTTTTATTGATGTGATAATTTATTATTGAATGATTGGATAAAAGAATATACTATCAGTATATTTTAATTACATTTCCGCACACATAATTTAAGTGCATCTACAAAAAAAAGAAGATTTAGGGTAAATATTTAGGGTCTAATTCTTAGTAGGCAAAAATCATCCGTAATAAATAAGGATATTATTAAAAAATTAATATTTTTAATATTCTATAATTTGAAACAAATATATACTAAAAATTAACTTTGAATGAAATGTTAAGTTAGATATTTTTTTTTAAATTAACTAATGTTGTCAACGGTATATATACAGAGTAAATTTTTATTTTTTAATAAAAATTTTAGAATAAATAAATATATAAAAAATGATAATTAACGCATCTAAAAATATATTATTTTAATGTTTAATAAAAATAGTAATAATTATTTTTATAAAAAATAAAAAGGGAGTATTCAATGATAAAAAAAGAAAAAAGAAAAAAGAAACATGTTCAATGCCAAAATGGGGAATGGCGACACAAAAAAGGGGAAAAGTTTCGGCATTTTCTCTGCTTCGAGAAGCGAGTGAGTTACTCTGATTTTCCTGAACATTAAATCAATGCTCAGAGTTGTTTCCGCATTTTCATTGGATACAGACAGAGACTTGAGTTGTAACTTGGAACATACTAACACACAATTGAATGGTAACATTTACTGATATTTAATTCAACCATTTTCTGCTATTTAATTATATCATCTCTTACACACTGCATTCTGCAGTAAGAACCTCACTCTCTTCTTCTTTCTTAAGCTCATTCATGGATTCTCTTGATGTCAACACCATGGGTTCCGCCATTGTCTCTGTGAAATCTCCTCCATCTTCACCCCAAACAACCCTTTCCATCTCAATTCCAACACCTCCTGCTTCTGGTCCTAGTAAGTCCTCCACCCCAATGCTTCCCTTTCGCTGCTTTTCAGAAACTCAAGTAAAGTTGACAACTTCTTCAAGAAAAAACAATTTTTTTTAACTGGGTCAAACTTTGAGGTTTTTTTTTTTTTTTTTTTTATAAAATGGAGTTTTCACTAGTAAAAGAAAAGTTTTTCAAAAGCACTAGTAATGCTTTCTGTGATTTTTGATGGACCTCGTGTGTGAAATCATGTCCATTCACTATAAAATTCCTTTAATAAATAGCTAGAAACCACTGTTGTATCAAATGAAATTTCGATAAAATAATGAATTTTTCTTTAATTATATTTTGTAATGTTGAACAACAGTGCACCCATTTATATATATATATATATATATATATATATTAATCTGGATGTACTAGGAGAATTAAAAATACTTTTTTTTCCACACATCTTTATTTTTTTCTGAAATTTATTGAATTTTAGTTACAAAAGTGCGAGAAAGAATCTTTGAAGGGACCTACATGATTTTTAATAAATTTTAGTTCATAATTAGAATATTTTAGTATTTCTCATTTATATATATGACATTTTTAGTTTGCATCTATTTTTTTTTTTAGTTTTAAAGCAAAAAAAAAAAATGTAATCTTGCTATTTGATCTCATCAGATTTGCCTGAGCATCTGGCGTACAAGAAGCAATTGCGAGCATTTGCTCTAAGGTCAAATATGGTAGCTCCCATGTATCAAACCATTAAGGAGGGGCCTCAACATGCTTCAAACTTTAGGTCAACAGTGTGGGTTGGTGGGATGAGTTTCAGTTCCTCTGCCACTTTCTCTAAACAAAAACGTGCCGAGAATGATGCTGCTGGAGTTGCTCTGAAGGAACTAATTGAAAAATTTAGAGATGAAGATCGCCCTGTTGTGTATGAGGTTTGTTGTAAAATAATTTTTATGTCAAATTTGAAACTGTTAATTAATTCAAGATTAATGCTAGCCACATAGTCTGCATAATACATATTTAATGTTTGACTAAAATTTATTGAAAATTTAAAAAATTATGCCATTTTGATATTTTATTTTTAAATTAATGTTTCTCTCTTATATTTTTTTTAATTTTTTTTGAGTTTTCAATAAATTTTAATAAAAAATAATTATTATGTAACAAAAAAATGTATTAGAAAGTGTCTTGATAACGTTCTTCTTAATTTAAATCCAATTGATTATTCAGAGTACCTCACCTGACTACTTGTGTTGCCCAACCTTTGAGTAATATGTCTAGTGCTGTTTATCTCAGATTCTATGTTTGTCAATTATTCTTTCTACAAGGCATTATTAGGATTGTTTTCTATTTATTTCAAATTTGGTTGATCCAAATTTTGCTATCCATTTGTTTGGTGTCAAATGTTTTTCACAGATAACAAAATGACTTGGGTTTGTGACTCTGCATGTAATTTGCTGGGCTTGAAGTGTATTTCAAATAACCTTGTTTGGCCACGTAGATATATGCATGCGGCATGCCCGTGTGAAGACATTCTATTCTAGGCTAGCTTGTCCATTGCCCTTTTGAGGACATATGATGTGGCACATATCATATCTTTTTCTCTGAATGATTAAGGTGTTTACTTGTTTGGATCAAATTTTGTAGTTACTGATTTATGTTGAAACAACTATTCTTTTTTTACATATAGCAAATTATTCATATTGGCTTGTTCTTATATTATCTTTTAAGATTATATTTCATTGTTCCTTATATTACTTCTCCTTGTTATCATCAGAATATTTTCTTTTCCAAATTGATCTTGAATGAATATGCTAGCAAGCTGAAAGTGGAACCACCTACATTCAACACTATTAAGCTTGAAGGGTCCCTTCCTCTTTTCATATCAACTTTGGTTTTCAAGGGTACAAATTACACCGGCGAAGCTGCTAGAAATAAAAGAGAGGCTGAGCAGTTAGCAGCACGTGCTGCTATTGTTTCAATTCTTGGTACTCTTTTTTGTATGCTTTATTGCATATTTTTAGAACTTCTATTTTTACCTTTTTGTCTGTGCTGTGATTAATTAAATGTACATGTAAAGCAGGTGATTCCAGTTCAGGATTGCTTCGTGACATAGTAAAGTCAAAATCTAGAATTCTTGCTGAAGCCAAACCAAACAAATCCCAACACATAGATGCTCATCCAGTATCAGCCATGGAAAATGCAGGACTTCCCTTTGTTTCACAGCATCATAAGGATAAGGAGGTTTCAAGTCTTGTAGCTGCTAATAATAATGAAACAAATATTGCACTTCATGCACCTCCTCCTACAGTGCTTTCCTTGTTTCCAGAATCTCAAATGTCTGAACATATACCATCCCTTGAAGCTACTGTCACTGAGCTTCCAAATATGAATCTCCATCCAGGTTTAGAACGCCCGGTTGCCCATGTTTCTCACCCAGAATCTCAGATGCCTAACCATAGACTATCCGTTGAAGCCACCATCACTGAGATTCCAAATTTGAATTTCCATCCTGGTTTAGAACAGTCTATTGGCAATGCTTCTGGTTCAAAAAAGAAGCGAAAGAACAAGAAGAAGGCTAAAAAGAGGCCACAATTGGAATCTGTGTAAGTTTCTTGATATCTCATTTTTATTATTTACTGTAGTATTCCCTTTTCTTTTTTCTTCAGCCCTTCTTGAATAGTTTTCTATGTTTGTGTAACTTTTAACTGTAAACAGTATATTTATTTGATATTTAAGCATATTACTTATAATGTTCTTATTCTCCAGTTCTAATGTATAGATTGATATTTAAGCAATGCTTGGTGTTTACTTCTAGACTTATGTCTTATAATTGATTAATTGCATGTTTTATCGTCGGAATTTGCAGATAACCCCTTCGAAATTGCTCATTGTTCAGTGGCACAGTGACCATGTGAGAGTGAATATGATTGATTATCTTTTGTGTTCTACACCGGCAGCTTAGCTGTGAGAATTGTATAGAACTATATAAGTCTTTGGTTATATTTGAAAGCATGCAAGACATATTTTTATTTATTTATAAATGCTTTGGCTTTTGAAACATTTGTTAGAGAATGCACATATTTACTTGCTAGAAACTTGGCAGGAAATACTGGACTTCACTTTTACTTTTGTGAAAACTGAATAGCAAGTGCGTTTGGCTGTGGCTCATTTTGGTCTTTCATCTATGCTCAGTTGTCGCTAACGCGCTTATTTGCAAGCTGTTCCTGTTGTTTTCATCTCTCCCCAAAGGAAATTATCATTTTAAAATCTTTTGAGAAATGCTAGAACACATTTTTTTTAAATACATTCTTTAACCCTCTTCTTGTAATTAGTTTTTAGAAAAGTCAAAATATTTGTCTAGTAAATTGATTTTTTTACAATTTACTTTAACTTAAAAATTGACCAATTACATGAAATATATTTAAGAGTGTGTTGCTAATCTCATTTTCTCGCTTATTCTACGCCGGCTTCGTTTTATATAGTTATATTTTAGACTCAACAACATAAATATTTTATTGTACTCCTTAGTATCTTTTTCATTTATGAACCCCTTATTTCTTCTTTATTCCATCTATACTAAACAATTGAAGTAATAAAGGGGAATTTTCGGAACTAATAATATACCATTTAGTTTGCCTAGCTGACATGGGTTGGTCTTTTTTCAACTCAAACTCAATGGATTCCAGAGATGAAAGGATCTATGTAAGTCCAGTAAACCCATTATGATTTTTTTTTTCAATGAAGATGACAGCATAAAACTGTTATTACGTTTAGAATGTATCTTCCACCACTACCCTTTTTTTTAATATTTCAATCTCTCATAAAAATAGCATACATTGCATATGATTTTACTTGATCGTTCGAGTAGAACATTTTACACGTTGCTAAAGATCTAACTTATAAAACAACAAAACGGAAGCTTCTTACTTCAAGTTGAGTAGGCTATTTGAATAGTCTATTTAATTTTAGATCCTTTATAACATATAGAAACACATTTTTGGAAAATTACATATATAATTGGCATTACATACTATATATATGTGTGTATTGGTATGTGAGATGTGTTAGAAACATATCATTGATTAATGCTAGCTAACCAATGATTAACTATAATACCAATAATTAGTCGGGTGTACCCAAACAACAGTGAAAAGTCTAAAGACAGAATTTGAAGATGCATAATGGTGGTTGGAATTTAGATCTGTGCTTTGATTATATGACTTCACATAAGTACATGGTTAGAGAGACTTGGTTGGTTAGACAAATTCCTTAAGACAAGGAAAATTAATTGCTCATTTTTCCAATGCCAGTTCTGGATTTTTTTCCCTTTGTCCCTTAATTTTCTTGTCCCGAGAACAAAACATGTGGATGATGATCTTCTTCGGGTCTACAAAAGATGTACTTAACTATTTTGCATAAGCAGTCAGAAATGGTCCTGCCCATGATGAAACTCTTAGGAGTGTGGCGTTCTCATTCCGTTCATGTGTTAACATTTTAGCATTAGTTAATAATTGGGTTCACTATGCACTCCCATATCTATTATATCAGTCTTTTTTTTTAATATTTGTAACCTGTAGGCAGTGGGCCCTATTATTAATTAAGACACTGAATGTTAAAATTTAAATGTAATGAATGCAATCTCACATGTCCTTCATAAACATGTAATAATAATTCAGGTATGTTGTAAGTATCTCTTATGAATGATGTCTTCATTCTTTGAAGTTTTAGACTTTTTAAAAAACGTCCTGCTTCATGTGGATCGCTTGCTCTTGATTTTACATCATGTAACTCTTTAACTAGTTAAGATTTGCCATGCGTTCTATCTAGTTAATATTTGAATTATTTTATCTAGCTCCCAATTTACTTAGTTGTCACTTGTGTACTTCCTCAAAAGCTTCAGTGATGAATTTCAATTTCTTTCTTTATTCCTCCTTAGATGTACTTTACACATGGCAGTGTTGACTTTTTTCTTTCCTAATTAGAATTTGAGTTACCAACAAGATACGAGCCAACATTTTGTGACTAATTGTAATATTGTTTTAGATTTGTGTCCATTCACTCTAAGCTAGCTTTTAAAATTAAGTTAGACTCCGTCTCAAATTTAAAACAAAATCAAAGTAATTGGACAAAAAAAAATGGCCATGCAATGAATTTATACCATATGAGACTAGTAAGTCATTAACTTTAAACTGAAAATTCCAGAAGCTAATTATTCAAACTTAAGGGTAGAATATCCTCTATGATAAGATTCAAAATTTTCCATATATCTTCCCCTCCTCCTTTATTTGCAATTTCACTACAAACAAATAGAATTCAGAGTCAGAAAGTACATAAATGGAACAAATACAAAACCTTCATGCCAAGCAGTGTTGTTAGACTATTCAATAACAATTTCAAGACAACTATACAGAATGTTAACATATATATTGTAAGTCCACGTGCTTAGGGGATTAAAAGGAAGCATGCAAGAAGCTATGTCAAGACGTGGGTTTTGCGAAGGATACGGCGACCCTTATGCTGCTTTGCAATGTTTTTATCTTCTCTGCTTCCAATGCATTAACTTCTGCCAGCTAACAATCCCAATATGAAGATGAATTAAATTCACATCATGGAAATTCATAAACATACCTTATTATTTTAATATTAGATTATGATTTCTTGTTTCCCCATAGTTAAGATTTCGGTCACACACTATTCCCATCTCCATTTACATAATATAACATTTGAGTTGAATATGTGACATCTACAAATAGCACTCCCTTACTAGTTGTCATTTTCATTATTGACTAGCCTGAACAAAACCTTAATTGCTATTGCAATTAGTTTTCCTTTACCTCTCTAATGGCGCTGGCCAAAGACCAAAAAATTCCACATGATTCAAGCATGGGCAGCAAGTTTCAAACCTCCATGATTGTTCATAGGGTCAATGAAAACCACAAACCTGTGTTAGAAGAGGAAGATGGTTCACAGTGTACTAATGGGCTCAGCAATGATTCAGCAATAACTCATTCTCCTTCTCTATGTGGCAGTGGCAATGGTTATGTTTATAAGGGCACAAACTATCAGCTCGAAGAAGCAGAATCACTGATTAATTTCAAAGGGTACAGCAATCTAATGCAAGTTAGTGAATCTTTGCTTAGTTTTCAGCAGAACAAGCTGGTTCCCAACAACTGTTACTTGAAAGATAATAGTCAGAAAGAGTACTGTGTTTGGGAGAACAATTTTCATCAAGGACATAACCAATGGAATCAGATTAGTCCAAGAAGCACTACAACAGACTTGCGCCTGGTACAGGATTTTAATTGCTTTCAAACTGCTAGTGGATATAGCTCCATAGTCAATGATGCAAAAGAGAAGCAACATGGTCAAAGTTCATCTGGGTGGCTCTACTCATCACCAACTATCCCTGATGATAGCATCCATAAGTCAAGAGCACAAGAATCTGTCTTGAAAAAGCGCCCTTCTATGGTATTCTTAAGTACCCTTGTGTTCCAAACTAGTCCTTGGAAAACCTAGTGAAATTAGAATGGCAATTGAGGTGAAATTTGTGTTTGCAGGGAGAAAACATGAAAGCTTCCAAGAAGCAATGCTCAACTGAGAGTAAAATGCCGAAACATAAGTCAAGCCCATCCAAGGATCCTCAAAGTGTGGCTGCCAAGGTTTGCTTCAATTCTAAGTCATTTATATTAGATATGTCCAAACTTCAAAATTTTGATTGTTAACGAAGCAAAATATAAATGAGATTCAATGTTGATGGAATGTTTGTCTCTCAGAATAGAAGAGAGAGAATAAGTGAGCGGTTGAAAATACTACAAGAATTGGTGCCTAATGGCTCCAAGGTGGGTTTTTTTTTTGTACTTCCTTTGTAGCAATAACTGGGAAAATTGTTATTGATTTCAATCCAAGCAAAAACAACCCTGCTCCCTCCCCTCACAATGGAAGGCTTTTGACTTATTAGAATGATGATTTAACTTTAACAATGAATTTGGCAGGTTGATTTGGTAACCATGCTGGAGAAAGCAATTAGTTATGTGAAATTTCTTCAACTGCAAGTGAAGGTGAGACTTCAAACACTACTTTTCTTTTCTTCTTTTGAACTTGTAGAAATTGAAACTCAGCATGTTACATCTTTGTTCTCTTATTATTCATTGTGTAGGTGTTGGCTACTGATGAATTTTGGCCTGTCCAAGGTGGAAAACCTCCTGATATTTCTCAGGTAAAAGAAGCAATCGATGCCATTCTTTCATCACAAAGAGATCAGAGAAGTTCAAGCTCAAAGTAGATGACATGAAGATTTTGGATCCAAGGAATATTCTCACAATAATTCAAGCACAAATTTCAGAACAAGAAAAGCCTTGCTCTGAGAGTTGTTAGTTCTGAAGGGCATTTTAGAAATTCAGAATGCAAGACCTTTAAAATATGTAACTTCTAAACCAATATCTAGCAGTGTATGCTTGGGCCACTACCTTTTCCTAGAAGTTCATTAGCAAAATATCTATGTGCCCCCATTGTCATTTTCTCTGTATTAGTTGCAATGAAGTGTCCCATAACTAGATCTAAAGTATCTTCCTTAACCTTAAGAGTTATATGTAGTATATTAGTTTATGTTCAGCATGCATACTATTAGCATTCAATAAGATGACATCAATCACATGAATTTGTCTCAATGTCAAAGAAATTATCCTGCTGCTATTGCTGGCAAGAATAAAAGCTATAAAAACATAAACTGTACTTTGACTTTTCTCTGAACTGATTATATCAAAATGAGCTGTTACCTAAGAAGTAGGCATGGTCTATGCAACAGCTTGGAAGTTATGATAGGTTACATCTTAACTCCCTGTTGAACATTAAAAACAAGTTGGCAATTGACAGATATCATATATACAAATAAAAACTAAAAATTCTAGGAGCAATAACAAGTATATGTTATGTTTAATTTGTTATAATTAATAACCAGTTAAATTAATGCATTAAATATTTTAGTTTGTATGAACCATGTAGTTCATGTTAGAACCATTTAAAAGCCATGCACGTTCGACTTGTAAGGGATCCTACAACCCAAAATCATCCCTTTAATAAGAGCCTAACTTTAGCATAAGCAACAATCAATAATCTTTTGGTTTTGTTAACAATCATCATGGTTAAGCCTTAATGCAACGTATGAATTAGTTACACGCATTAATTTTAGTTCCCATTGACATTAACCTCAAAAACATTTATATATTTAACTCCATTAATTAACCATATATTTATAGTTCAAGAGTTCAACTCATAAATATATGGACGTATAACGACTAAATGAGCATGCATGCACGTATGAGGCTCCGTACATTTGTGATTTTATGGTTTTGTTTGTCAAGAAAATAATCAATCGAATCATCTTTTATAAAAATTCTTATTCAATATTACTAATCATTCAGCTTTTTTAATTTTGATTTTTTTTTCCTTTCTAATTAAGGATATGAAGAGAGGAACCAATACCATTATTAGGCACGTGTAATTGTTAATAAGGTTCACATGGGAAGCAGTAATCACATGCTCAATCCCACAAAAATCGGTGACTATTCATTCCCACGAATTTCTAATGAGAAATGATTTCATAATTATGTGTTACAAATTTTGAGCCATTATCATATAATTAAAATATTTTAATTTTTTTTTTTACTAAACCACTTCACTTCTCTTACTTAAAGTATCTAACCTTATTTTATCTAATTTTTTATTTTTTAAAAATACTTTTTATTCAAGTTAGTTTAATTTAAATTTGATTTTAAACTTAAATTTTGAATAATAATATACTATATTGAATTATGTATTCATTTTTAGATAATTAAATTTTAATATTAGTATAATTAATCTTAATTTGAGTATGCTTTTTAGATTTGATGTATCATATTATAATATCAATAAAAACAATATATTTTTATTAGAGTTCAATTCTCACACAATCTGTAAAAGTTCATTTACATTATCAACAAATTAAAGTACACCGCGTGGATATGATTTTATATAAAGTATTACAATAATTGAACAATTCTTGGTTATAAAACAATCTACAATTAAGTAATATTACAAAAATATTTTACATGGTTAGCGCTATTTAAATTGATTTTTGTGTTTAAATAACTTAGTTTCATAATATATTTCTAAATTTAAAAAAATATTTTTTAATTTATTCCTATCTATTAAAATAAAATATTTTTTTTGTTAATAACAAATATATTTACTATTATTTTTAAATTTTATTTATAAATTGTGTATTTAAAAATATTTTTTCAATGTGTAAAAAACTTGCTAATTACTCAAACAGATTCTAATAATCTACGGTGAAAGTTTAACCTCACAATTGTTAACTCCTTTGTATGATGTTTGTGGATATTATTTGGGGGGCCTTACGTGTCATTTGTGAATATATATTTTAGCATATCACGTCTTCAAAGATATGAAATTAGAAAAAGAGAGGAAAGGGACAGCTTCGGTTGAACACTTGTGGGCTGTCTCGTTGATTTTTCTTAGCCAATTGTTAGTTCTTTTTATAATTTTTAATTTTTAATTGGAATTAATGTGGATATTTCCAATTACCACTTTTAGAATGCCAAAGGAGACTCTAGATTTCAATAATTGAGCAAATAAACATATTAATAATTATATAGCTAATTAATTACTAACAAAAATTATGTTCACCAGATAGCTTAGAAATGGCAGGGTGTATTCTTAAAATTTAAAACTATCCCAAGATTTCCATCCTAACCAAAATAAATTAAAATGATCTGCATGTAAAGTACAAAAGATCAGCTTTATTCTATAACATGAGAAATAGAATGGTACAAGAAAGAAAACCCTACATTAATAATTATTAATGTTAATTATGAAAATTTAAATGTCACATTAACAACTTAAAAAAAATAAAAATAAGACAAGCAGTATATGAATTTTTTTGGTGTAATATAAAAGTTGTTTGTGCAGCATTATTAGTCTTATCAAGGATTATAATAATATTCTTCCATGTCAAAATTGGAATGGGCCGGGTGGTATTTTGACCTAAAGGGGGAGGTGATATATATATATATATATATATATATGCCATATTTTTCAAGGAGACAACACTTTGTATGATGTAATACGGTAGTTGAGAAATAGATATCGAAATTAATGGATTTGTGACATTTGTTATGATAAGGTAAACATAAATTTTTTTTTTTGACATAAAATTAGGAAAATACGTAATAATAAAAAATTTGTTATGATTTTGCTTTGGTGACCAAGACCCGTTTATTTGAGTTTTTAAAAACACTTTTAAAATTAATGTTTAAAAGTATATAATAATCGTGTAAAGTTCTAATAAAAAAAATCATGCACTGTTTTAACACTTTTTAAAAAGTTAAAAATTAATACTTATGAAAGAGAATATTTAAATAACAAAATTGCATCACAATTAGTTATTTTGTTTTCGTTTTTGGCCATTAATTAACTCTCTGCCTTTCAAGTTATTTGCTATCATCTTGTGGATTTGTGTGTTGAATTTTCAACTCTCCCAATTTATCAAATACTAAACCAGATATTATGCTAACCATAATTTTATATAATTTTCATTTGACATCTAATGTATACACGTACCCCCCATCCCCATGAGGCCATGACTGGGATAGCAGTAGAAGAAACGAGGAAGCAATTTGCGCGTTCATAGCCACGTGTGGTTGTGTTCCTTCTAATCATTGATGAAATGATGATACAATCATACATACTTGGTATGGTATTTCAGACAATACGGATTTAGCTTATTTAGGATCTCATTTTCTTCATCAGTGATCGCTGTCTGTGTATTCATGTGATCTATCTGTTTAGTCAAGTAGATAAGATGAACTGAAATGACAATTATTAGTGAATTTGCCGGTGAAAATAGTTTATATACTTTTGTCAATGAATGGTTCTGCGTTTAACGTTGTCTTAATGATTTGGGATTTTAGGCTCTTAATTATGTACCAAAAGATTAAAAAAGTCTTTACCAAAATAAATTTAGTGACCTTGTTCAAATATTTACCTACTGAGTTATACAATGCTCAAGTATAAACAAATATCTTATTGGTGAATTTTAATTTGTAATTAAAATCTTTTCAAGGATTGGTTAGGGAAGAAAAGGATGAAAAATAAAATAAACCGGATAAATTTGTCAATATATGTAATAAATCATTTCCTTTTCATAAATACGGATTACACAAGTGGAGATAACAAGCATAAATTAATATCATTATGTCATTTTTAATTTTAATTTTGATTTTTATAATTTATGTTTTATTTTAAAATTTATTATATTAAGAAAATTCATACAATGTATATTAATTTTTATTTAACACTATATGTATAATGCAAAAAGAAAAAGAAAAAAAATCACCAATTTTGCACGTATTGCAAAAACTATATCCGTTCATCCGCGAGGCCAATAATGTGAAAATCAAGCTTTAAACCTTCATGTTGTGGTCATTATGCATGGAAGAAAAGTCTTCAGGTTTATGATTTAGTGCTCATAGACAAGACATGGCAAAAAGCTTTTAAAAGATGTCCATTAATCATTCTACTTTTTTATAATGAAAGATGAATCATGAAACTCACAAATGAATGACCAACTAGTAACTTTATATTTTGCTCCCATCTAGAAAATTGTGTCCTAAAGTTCTTGATATTTTTTTGGGTCTTGACAAACTCGACTAGTGAAACGTAACTTCCTTTTTATTTATATATACAGTTCATGTTTAATTTTATCTTTACATCAAATATAAATTTATTTAGTATTGTTATTAAATTTCAGCATGGGTAGGGTCGCATGAAAGGAGTCAACTCGTACAAGATCATGACAAGTCGCTTTGGTGGATACATTGGGAAGCTAGGATGCAAAATTGCTCATACATAATATATACACGCATGCATATTGTATGTTGAATTGACACTTGTGGCTCAAACGTGAAATGGCAAACATAATTGTGGGTTCAATTGAACCCAATTGGCCCAATTTTTTTGCATGATTAGGGAGCATGGTTTTAAAAAATGTGGCTATATTTGTACGCAGCAATTTATGTGTAATTGGTCCATTTATGGATGCAGTCACTGTTGGGAACTGTTGCTTTGTTATACTGACGATGGATAGTGAGTGAACAAGGAGCAAAATTGAACACTGCCACTTGGCACATAGTAATTGGCTTACATGGATAAAGACTTCACATTTTTATTTTTGCCTTCAAAAAAAGTGATTATGATTGTCACTACAGAATCTAGAGTGATTTATTGAATAAATATTCAGATGAAATTTCATTTTGAGTGGAGTGGCTTCACACTTGAATAAATTCAGAGATATTGCATCTTTTTAGGCTATAAGTTTGAACTTTCAAGGGACAAACTTTAAACACGTGTGTCTTCTTTTTTAGGCTAATAACATCAATTGGGTTGGAATGCAGTTTTTCACTATAAGAACTATGCATAAGAAAAATACCATAAACTAAATAATTATACACTTGTATAGGTAAGAAAGAGAGACAAATTGTCAATACCATAGAATTTTTATATTGTATATAAATAAATACGAATACGTAGATTGGATGCCTGCGATGCTGCAGGCCCATATTTGGAAGCTAGAAAGAGTGGAAAACACAGTCCCACGAAATTTGCAATGACGTGATGTGCAACATTCTCGTTTCTTTGGCTCAATGTTACGTGTCTTCTTTCCGATCGTTAATTTGTATGACGCCACATCTCACCAAGACAAATAAAAAGCACATCCAACACCCCCAAATAGAGATCATTGTGAAATTGAAGACGACTAATTAAATTAAACTAAATCATCCAATTAATCAAATTATTTAAGCTATATATATTTCAGTCATATGTATATGTATTTATTTTTTAATTCACAACAAATTCGTTATAAAAGTTTATTTCACTGTATTGTAAATTTTCATACAAAATATTCGTAATCTAAAAAAACTAAAAACATATTTAATTTCTATTTTAAAAATAAAATATAATACAAATTAGTTAAGCAAAAGAAAATCAAATATTAATACTATATATAATTTATTCAAGCAACATTGTCTCTGTTTTTTTTTTTTTTTTCGGAAAACAAGGACCATAACTGTCTCTAAACAAATGAGAGAGTTACCTAACATTTATAATCACTTTAAACCATTAAAAATTATACCCTTTTTAAAAATATTTTATTATTAATTTAAATAGTTTGGTTAAGCATTATTGTTATAGTTTTCTATTGAGTCTTTTTTTTTTTTTGACGTTACTCTAAAATGATTTTATTATTAACAATAATTATTATTAATTTTAAAACTATTAATTATCTATCATTTCAATTACATCTCCTTCTTTAAGTATGTTTTTGTCTCCCTTTTTTAATATTTCAAAAAACTTTACATTTCAAGTGTGCTTGTCCCTTCAGGGATATTCGATATATTTTGAATGTGTTTGGCACGTTTTTTTATTTATTTGCCTCACTTAAAAGCTCATTTTATTAAAATATAAATATTTGATAAGTAGTTTATTTTACTATTTGTTAATGTTTTTCGAAACACTGTTCCATGTAACTTTTATTTTATAAGTTCTTTTTTATAATTATTTTTTATATTTTTATCTCTAATGTTTTATTTTTTTTCACTCTCTCTCTCTCTCTCTCTCTCTCTATATATATATATATATATATGATCGTTTTTATTGTTTTATAGTAACAAATGTTTAAATTTATAAAATCCATAATTACTTTTTACTCTTTATTATTCATAATAATTTATGAAGTGAGAGTTTGGCATACAAAATGACACATCTTCATTGCTGCGTGTATTATAAATTTGATTTAAATATGCTTTTTCTGTAAATATGTCAGTTTTTTTTTTTTATTGTAGTCTCTGTTAATATATTTGTTAGGTTTTGATGTATTTTTTATTCAAAAATGCATTTCAGACCTTATAATTAATAGTAGTTTGTCAATTAATGATGTATTAATGCATAGTAGTTTCTTCAAAACAAGTAAATATTAATTTCTTTGAAAATACAGACATCATTAAAGTAGGCTTGTATCTCTTTATTGACGCAACTAAAAATCAAACCTTGATTAATATGTTTAAAGAAATTAATTATTTATCATTCTATGGGGGCTAGGTATATATGAACAAATTATTTAGAATTCGAAAAATATTTTATATTTAAATAACTCATTACATGGCTTCCTTACAAAGGCTATCTTATTTAATGTATCCATGCATGCGTGAAAATCGATTTGGCGAAAAGAAGAAACTAAAATGCACCGACAATCCAGCACTCACATAAAGGTGTAAAAAGACATAACACGAGAGAGACTAATTAGAACCCAAAAAATATATATAAAAAAATATTAAGAAAATATGAATCTTGTGGGAAAATCACTTGAAGGTCAAGGAAGGAACTTATCTATGAGTTTTGGAAACTTTTTGCTTTTCCTTTTGGTATAATTAATGCCATTAGTACTTAAATGCACTTGCTTTTGTGAATACAAAACTTGTACCTTAAGAACACTCACTCGTGGCATGTGGAAAAAGTGCATAGTAATGTGTCAATAAACACACACTGTTCATCCTCCAATTAGGTGTCTTTCCCTACCTTCAGCATATTTTAAAGATTACATCGCCTTCGCCGATTTCCGTTTTACACACTGCAACAAAAAACTGCAAAACTGGGTTGTTAAAATGTAATAAAACTGGGTTAATTAAAGGGCATTTATTATAGTTGAAAATTAACATAAAATAAGTTTAGTTATTATGAATTTAACTATAAAAAACTATCTATTATTTTTGCCTAATAATCGGAGTTTTTCAACCCAATAATTTATTCATACCCACAGTGTATCTGCTATTTAATAGTTTATAAGCAATTATGTTGATGGTGAGACAGATGATGACAAGAAAATAATAAAGGGAATAATGTTATATTCTACAAATATGATCAGAAATATTTTATAACTGGTATTTTCTTTTGAAATTTAATTTTAAAATTTATATTTGAATTTATTAACATAGAAATATAATTGTGTGTGTATATATATATATATAATATAATACACACTAAGAAATAATTATAGTTAAAAATGGTAAATGATCCATTTTTTTAATGAAATGGACGTTTTTATTGTATAAAAAAATACATTAACAAAACAAATATAATTACTAGTTTTTAAATTAGTATATAGTTTTTTTTTCATAATAATTTAATATTAAAACATTTATATTTCATTATCTGATGACTTAATTTTCTAGAGTCTTAGTTAGTGAAAAAGAGCTATGAATACGTATATCCATTGAATTGACAGGAGCAACCTTCGAAAATATAACCCAAGTTATAGACAGGTTCTGTATCCAATGCACCATAAAAAGGGCTGCTCCTGTATCTCTATCCATCCCTGTAAACACTGCTTTGGAATATGCTTGATGGACTGGAAATCTACTATATTCTTACCATTAATGCATCAAGCGACGTAACATTAAATGTAATTAACCAGATAATCAAATGGTTGATACGACGAAAGTAAATAGTTAATCTTAAAGGTAAAACATAACTACTTAATCTCTTGAAATAGTGTATAATGATTTTTTCCTTTTTAATATTGTGTGCATACATAACTAGTATATAAAAATAGAGAAAATGCATGCAATTTTTAAAAACAACAACCATCAACATGTAAGAAAAATGAACAATAAATAAGATTTATGTAATTTTTATTCTTTATTTGTCGCTATTTTTTTTACACCTACATATAATTTTCTGAAGTCAGATTGAGCTTCATGATATTTTGTCGTATTATCATATCGGTAAAGCATAAGAAGATCATCATTTTGCTTTTGTCCAGTAATACGAAGGTCTCCGAATTAACCAAATGTGAGACTATTGCTTTTTATTTGTCTTAATTAAGTTTATTCACACATCCGATAATATATTGATTTAATTAAATTAGTACTGAAGAGCTTGACATTTGCATTTTCTTTAATATTTCGTATTTAATTTAATCTGAATCGCGCAGCTGAACGTAGTAAATAAATTTACCATTGTATATATAAAATTTTAATTTTCTTTAACGAAACTTACATTTTCTTTTCTTTGACAATTGAATCAAATGATAACTTCAATGATAAATTAATTCATAAAAAACTGATAAAATGAGCACGTTTAACAATCAAAATGGCAAGGAACTTGTATTAGAATGAACTAAACGAATCAAATTGAATGGGGATATTATTTTCTATTTCCCCACTTGAAAATCCATTTGTTAAATTTCACAAGCCTACCGACGATATACCCTCGACAATGCTAGGAAAGCAAATATTCCATGTCCTTATAGTCCTAGCGATTATAAAATAATAATTGAATCAATTTCATGACACCGTTCCAAAAGAAAATAAATTGCTTCAGAACCTTAATTTTAACACGTGGATGGGACATATTGGCCATTTCGAAAATCTACAAAAAAGATAATAATAATACTGGACCCAAGAAAACAAGGTCTACAAAAATAGAGTGATTGAATACTAGACCAACATAACATAAATCCAAAAGAATAATTAAAAAATAATATAAATAAAATAAATATTTCCAATCCCACGAATCGGAATTATTTTAACTTAATCTTTAATTTTTACTTTGTACAATTATATTTAAAAATGAATAAAATAAATGAATCATATTCTGAAGTTTTTTTTACCAAACTACCGAACCAACAACTACTTTCTCTCTCCTGAAAAAAAAAAACTGTTTTCTCTCTCTACATCGCTCTCTCTTTCTATCTCTACGAACTTTGTCTTATAAGTTATAATAACTGTTGCTTAACGCCTCTCCCAGAACCTCAACCCCCAAGAACACTTTGCGTTTCTCAGCCTCTTCAAATCACCCAGATTTTTTTCTTTCTTTGTTTCTCTCTCTAGCCTTCTCTCACTACCCTTTCCATGGAGAGTCCTCATTCTCTCTCTCCTTCTTCTTCGTCCTCTTCTTATTCTTCCGACGGCGTTAGCTTCGAAACGGAGGAGCCGAGGACGCCGTTGGCCGTGCGGCGAGCTTTGCAGCTGCTGAACTCCGGCGAGCCCGAGCTGCGGCTCCAAGCCGCCCGGGACATCCGGCGGCTCACGAAGACGTCACAGCGCTGTCGGCGCCAGCTCGCAGAAGCTGTCGGTCCACTCGTTTCCATGCTCCGAGTCGACTCGGCCGAGTCACACGAACACGCTCTACTCGCCTTGCTTAATCTCGCCGTCAAAGATGAAAAGTACCTAACTTCTTCCCTTTCTTTCTTCTCCTTCTTCCATCGACTATTAATAATTTATATTATTACCCCTTAAAAAAATCTGGGTAATTATATGTTTATATGAAAATAAAAACCCTAAATGATTAACTAATTAAGTAGTGTTAATTTTTTTTAATGGATTGTAGCTTTTGTGTGAAATTGTAATTAATTAATTTGTTTATTTCTATGGTTTTCGTTGTTTGTTTGACGTGCTTTTTCGATTCTGAGAATTCGTGAGCTTTATGAAACATATGCGATACCTTGAAACCATCGAGTAGGGGATTCGATAGAGAATTGAAATAAAAAATGTCAATTTTGGATTTGATGTATTTGTATAATATAGTAGGATACATGGTGTTATACTTTGAGATTCTGATTCTGTTCTTTATTCTGTCCCCTCAGTTTCCTTTTACTTTCTTTCTTTCTTTTTTATTTGCATCTGATTGGTGGGTATATAAAGGAAACTATGGTTTGCTTTATTTTATTTTATTTTTTGAGTGAGATGGTTAGATTTTCGTTTTCATAGTCTAGCTACACATTTGTTAGGAAAGATGATGATTTATACATATATTTTTGGGTGGTGCGTGGTGGGTTGGTGGGTAATTACCACCTTTGACAGAAAATAAGAAAAACCTCTTTTTCATGGCTTAGAATGCAAGAGGGACATATTTTTGTGATTGATTGAATTCTTGAAAATATTTTGATATATGAAAAGAGAAAATAGGTATTTATTTTCCTGTTATTATTATTGTTTTAAATTTTGTTGAATTTTGTGTATTGTGGTGAGTACTATGTCATGTTTTAAGAGTACTAGAATGTCTGTTAAATTGCTTTATCAATGATAATTGTTTTTGATAGCTGAAATGCATGCATGCTAATACTAAATCACAAGAAAGAATTGGATGCTTTATTGTGTAAGCTTATCCGATTACGAGGTGGATTTCCTTTGTTTCACATGGTGCACTTTCTTTTTTACCTTTTGTTTCTTTTCCTTTTTCGCGTATGTCTTATTCCTGAAGTAATCTTTTTATCATTTATTGCAGCGGGTCAAATTTCACCTCCTAGCAAATGGAATAGTTGTTAATTCCTTTAAGTTGCTTTCGCTTCTAGTCAGTAACTAATATTTGCATAAAGCAGCGCTAGTTAAAACATTAAATATCTGTCTGCTCTATTCTGAATATGGTCATCTAGATGACGAATAATGCCTTATTTGTCAAATACGGAAAATAGCCAACGAGTTAAAAAAGAAAGCCATTCAGCATACCTTAATGACTCTTAGGACGTAGAAATGGGATAATTCTAATCGCTATTAGGGATTTAATTACTGTGCTTGGTCTTTCTGGAGATGGTTCAGATCTCTCTGCTATGAACGTGGTGTTCAACCACTGAATGACATTTTTCCTATTGCTCTCCTCATTAAGGTTATGTTTGTTCGAGTAAAGAGTGGGATAGACGCTTTTGATATTTACTCGTTGTTGCTTGGGTAGAGGATGGAAAATCACTTTCGTGCTGTAGGAGTAGGAGTGACCAGAATTTGTGGGGTGGGTGATGGCAATGAGTTTCACTCTACTTTCAACCTCTCTATATTTTTGTTATACCAAACAATTGTGAAGTGATTTTCATTCCAAAATTTCCACCTCCCCCTCTTCCACCCGTGCACAACAAGCATAGCCTAAAATTTCTTGTTTTGGCTCGTGTTTTTGATACACGGTTATTGTAAATTTAGATCCTGTTGAGAAGAGAAGATTGTACTTCTTTTAGATTTGTCTACATCAGTATTCTCGTTACTGTTTCCTTTGTAGCATGACATGGTTCGTCTGTTACATCTAAGACCTGAATGGGTTCTTTCAGGTTGTGATTGAATATAATGCCATTAACTAGATAAATATAGCAGTTACTAAAAGATACAAAGATTTTGATTTCTTTTGCCTGGCGTATCTGATTTTACTTTATAGCTTGATGAAAACTATAGCAGTTAATCATGAACTAAATATTGGCTTGTCTGTTGTATCCTGCGCTCTTTATTTTGTTGCGTTGCCATTACACAAGTATCAGCCAGTTAGTCTTTATTTCTTTTGCGGTTCAGAATCCAGATGTTTCAGATTCAGTGCTAATGAACTATTTGCTAGGTAATCGTTAGTATTAATTCAGTCGTATTCATGAGTTGAACTGGTCTTTTCTTGCAGGAATAAAATCAATATTGTGGAGGCTGGTGCATTAGAACCGATAATCAGTTTCCTCAAGTCACAAAATCTAAATCTGCAGGAGTCTGCAACTGCATCTTTGCTCACACTATCTGCCTCTTCAACCAACAAACCAATTATTAGTGCTTGTGGTGCCATCCCTCTTCTGGTGGAGATCCTTCGAGATGGAAGCCCCCAAGCTAAAGCTGATGCAGTGATGGCTCTATCAAATTTATCGACACACCCTAATAATCTCAGCATAATTCTTGAGACAAATCCAATCCCTTTCATAGTTGATCTTCTTAAGACCTGTAAAAAATCCTCGAAAACAGCCGAAAAATGCTGTGCTTTGGTAGAGTCCTTGGTAGATTATGAGGAGGGCAGAACTGTGCTGACATCTGAAGAAGGTGGGATTCTTGCAGTTGTGGAAGTTCTTGAAAATGGCACTCTCCAAAGTAGGGAGCATGCGGTTGGAGCACTGTTGACAATGTGCCAAAGTGATCGATGTACATACAGGGAACCAATTCTTAAAGAAGGTGTCATTCCAGGACTTCTTGAGCTTACTGTTCAAGGAACACCCAAGTCTCAGTCAAAAGCACGCACTCTTCTGCAGTTACTGAGAGAATCTCCTTATCCAAGATCTGAAATTCAACCTGACACTCTTGAGAATATAGTATGCAACATCATATCCCAGATTGATGGGGATGATCAATCTGGTAAAGCAAAGAAGATGCTGGCTGAGATGGTCCAAGTCAGCATGGAACAGAGTCTCAGACATTTACAGCAAAGGGCTCTCGTGTGCACCCCAAGTGATCTGCCTATAGCTGGCTGTGCTTCTGAAGTTTCTTCAAAATGATAGTTCCCTTTTCCAACCCTTTCTCACTTTTTTCTTTGCACCTGGGGTTTGTGAGATAAATTTCCATAGTAAAAAGGTAAAGAAAAAGAAGAAGAAGAAGAATAATACGTAGTAGAGTATGCCAGTCCAGGCCGTTGTGGAGGTACCGAGTGACTGGTAATTGTCAATAAACGAAGTTGCAAGAACCATGATTTTGTAGTTGGTTTGTAAAGAAACTGTTGTATAAAATGACATGCAAGTAGTAAAGGCTCTTCGATCAATTCTTGTTCTCCATTTCTGCAATGACTTGGGCCCGATTATTTTGAAACATATTAGAATTAATTTTGATAGAATTCTTTTTGAATTGCCAAACGTAATTGAGATATATATCAAAATTGGTTTTTACTGAAATATGTGTTTCAGTAAAATATATATAAGAATTAATTTTCTTACTATAAATCAAACACATTAGTATTAATAATATTTCAATCGATATTTGACGGATATTCATCAATTCAACACTCTTGATATGTAGATGAAAGATTGGCTAATCTATCAGCCACTGAATTAGCATCTCGCCTCACATGATTAATTCTTAGAAGTATTAATTCCCAGCATATTCATACCTTTTGTTTGGTCGAACAGCATATTCATATTGAATCTACATGACATGAGTCTTAAACTGTTAGGGCCTTAGGGAGCTTGACTTTGTAATTAAGAAATAAAAAAATAAAATGTAAAGCATTTTAAAGATGATTTTTTTCTTTGCTGGTATTTTAACACATATGTAAAGTTTTTTCTCCAAACAAAATTTTCCTAAAAATAGAAATAAAATGTTTTTTAAAAATAAAAATTTGACATTTTTGAAGATTTTTTACATTGGGATTTGTATGCAAAACACTAAGGCGCATAATTAGCGTGCCAAAACAAACATAGATCGCTTTGACTTCATGTGACTTAAGTGAAATCACCCACTATATAAATAAGTAGAAAAAAAGTTTGTTTGAAGTAGAAAAAACATATTTAAAAGTTGTTATATATTAGTTTACTATAACGACAAAGTTACAAATATTGTAGAGAGAATTTTTTTAATAATACTTGACTTATTTGTATCATTAATCATTTTACTATAAAATTTTTACGATTATAAAACATTATGTTACAAAAGTTAGAATATGAAAATAATATACAGATAATAAAGATGTTGTATAGGTTGTATTATTGAATATACAAGTTATTTAATTTGTAATGATAATTATGTGAGTATAATATTCAATTTTTAAGTTTAATTTTCAAAATTATGCATAATCAAAATATTTGTATCTATGCAAAAATGTTAATGTAACTTTGAAAATTCTAATCTGTAAAATTGAATTATTGGAACCTGTATTCCTCAATTAATTAACTTGTAGATAATTAACATGTAAAATAATTTTGTAATTCAACTCTCATAACTAACATGGTTCTAGTCAAGAAAAGTCAGGTTAAAATGACTTGTGTGTAAATTATAAATAGTGTCTAGTCAAATATAAGTTAAATTAAAATGTGTAAATTATAAATAGTCTCGTCTTTGTATTAAAAAAAATACATATTTTAAGTTGTTAGAAAAAACTGACATATTTATAGTTTTTTATTTTATTTATTAAAAATCCTTTTTTTTATGTCATGAGTAAATAAAAATGTTGCAGTCTGAGATATCCCACAGAACATCATGGCTAGTGGCTACTTTTATCTATTGTACAAGTGCAACACAGTTGTGAAAACAATACTCAAAATTTAATAAATAAAACATCCATATTAAAGTTTAACCCAAAATACTTTATTAAATCTCTTTAATTTAACACAAATTTATATAACATTTTACAAACCAGGAAAGAGAAAAAAGAAAGGAAAAAACGAAAAGAGATTTAAGAAAGAAATAATTTGATTTATTATGACTATGATTGGTTCATTATTGAAAGAAAGAAGGAATAGCGGGGTTCATTTTTCATTGGCTGTGTTCTTCCCAAAACACGTTAAACGTATGCATTGAATTCCGTTGCGAGGCGCAGACCTCACCTCACTCAGTACTATACTTACTGATTGGCGTGGACTATTACACACATTTGTGACTTTCCGTGACTGCTTTTCATTCCTCAACCCTAAGCACACGCGCTGAGAGTGAACAAAACTATTAAGACCGTTCATCGAAATGGGAGATCCCGTCGAGAGGGTGGGATCGGAGGGTTTGGATTCCGGCGCCGCCATTAAGACTGATGGATTGTGCATGGAAATCGATCCACCATTTCAGGAAAACGTCGCCACCGCCGAGGACTGGCGCAAAGCTCTCAACAAAGTCGTCCCCGCCGTCGTCGTCCTCCGAACCACAGCTACTCGCTCCTTCGACACCGAGTCCGCCGCCGCCAGCTACGCCACTGGCTTCATAGTCGACAAGCGCCGCGGTATCATTCTCACCAATCGCCACGTCGTAAAGCCCGGTAACCAAGCCGATTTTGCTATTTGTCGTTTTGTTCTTCTTCCTGTGCCGAATTCGGCTTGTGTTGACGATCTTTCTGTTTCAAATGCGTAGGTCCTGTAGTTGCCGAAGCCATGTTTTTGAACCGTGAAGAGGTTCCGGTGCATCCGATATACAGAGATCCGGTGAGTGAAGTTGGTTTTCACTTTGCTGTTTTCGCTTTGGTTTTTCAATGTGCTTCCGCGAACCGTCGAATAAATTGGTGACTTAGTTGAGCCCTTTCTTTCATTTGATTGGAGTTTTGGACATTTTTAAATGTGTTCTGCTTCCTAGAAACTTCGTTGCGTGAGTGATCGCATGAGTATGAACTATGAACGCAGGTCTACTGTTACAAACATACAAAACCACAACAAACAATTGGTGTTTAAGCTGCTGCTTTTCAATAACAAGAAAAAAATCTGCTTATATGGTTTTTACCTATTTAAGCTGCTGCTACCTTCACTGCTATTATTGTGCTTAATTTCTTTGTTCCTCTTTCTCTGGGTGTCTGTCTATGCAACCAACTAAGTGCATACACTACTGCAGGTACATGATTTTGGGTTCTTTCGCTATGATCCTTTTGCTGTGCAATTTCTGAACTATGAGGAGATACCTCTTGCTCCTGAGGCTGCTTGTGTGGGACTAGAAATCAGAGTTGTTGGTAATGATAGTGGTGAGAAGGTATTACCTTAAAATTGACATCTCCGATATTGTCTGTTTCATGTTAATTTGTTTTTATTCAAATGCTTTGGACAAGCATGTTTCATTTGATAGTTCAATTCCATTTATTCTCCTCCCCTCTCCTCTATTGCAGTCTTGTATTTTTTTTCTTAATTGACTCTTGTAGGAAAAAGCTACATGGTTTCTAAGCTTATATCAACACTCATCAAATGGCTAATTGATGGTTTTCTTGGCTAACTGACCAAGCAATAGAACATTGTTGCATAAAGCACAATGGTAATGTATGTTGAGAAATATGCCTTTTTATTTCTCATCATGGTCAGTTTTCAAGATAGGTCTGCTAAATCCATTTGATGTCTTCAGTAAGGCCTTTGGTTTCTAATATCAAGTGATATATCAATATTAATTTTCTTAACATGACTGCACCAAATTGTTTTTCACTCATGTAAAAGGATAATGAGTTCTATTATTACCTTGGATCTATTTCTCCCAAAAAAAAAAAATTTGTATAATATTTTGTGGCTTTTACTTTCAGGTTTCCATTTTGGCTGGTACTCTTGCTCGTTTGGACAGGGATGCTCCTCACTATAAGAAGTATGTTGTACTGTATCAGTATCTTTTTTGCGTATGAATTCTTCCATGAACAGGATTTAGATGGTGAAACTATTATTTGATGCAGGGATGGGTATAATGACTTCAACACATTCTATATGCAAGTAAGTGGGGAATAAATATTATTACATCATTTACATTAAAGTTTCAAATTATGAGTTTGTTCGTATTATTTTCTTTCTCCTTCAGATTTTAACATCCTTTAATTTCTTTTCTTGGTTCTATTTCTGCTGTATAGGTGTCTTGTAATTTGTTTTTTATCCAATGCATACTGAATGTTTCCTGAGTTATTTTTAAGATTGGCTTTTTTTTCTTTTTTTTTTGGGGGGGGGGGGGTTAAAACTCATTTTGGACCTGCATTTGTCAAACTAATTTGTGATTTGTCCAACTTGGTTTTAAAGTCTCTTTTAGAAAAGGTTTGCAATTAATGTACTTTACATGGTATGAATGTGTAGCAGTTGTCCATCCATCAATTGAAACCATATACCTACTGATTTTTGCATTTCAGGCAGCATCTGGGACCAAAGGAGGGTCAAGTGGTTCCCCAGTTATTGATTGGCAAGGCAGGGCAGTCGCCCTCAATGCTGGGAGCAAGTCATCAAGTGCATCAGCATTCTTTCTACCTCTAGAACGGGTGAGCTCTTGATATATATCTGCTGAACTTTTGTCTGAAACTTCCTGTAGTAACCAGGGAGAAGCACATCTCTTCTAGTGTGGAGCAACTAAATCAATTAGAACTAGTGAACAATTAAATGCAGTGATTTACATTTCAGGTTGTGAGGGCATTAAGGTTTCTTCAAAAGGGAACCGAAACTTATGTTGATAAATGGAAAGCTGTTTCTATACCTCGTGGTACGCTCCAGGTTTGTCAATTATTCTTTGCAGATTGTTCCTGTTGTGTTTTTCTCAAGATTTAATATTGATCTATTTTATTGAACTGAAGCTTGAATATTTTGTATGATGCATAGCAGTGAATAATATTCTCTATATTAGATTTCTTTTCAATGGAGTTTTCCTTGTAAATTGAAACATTTTGCTATGACAAAGGACCTAGTGGTATTTGTGGACATTTATAAGTTAATGTTATGTCTCGACTCTTGAAAGTCAAAATGATGTGTTAAGGTAGAAAGTTGTAGTCTTTGGGAGCCTGGAAGCATTAAGTATATAGCTTTACATTATTATCTTGGCCTGTTTGAGTGCTTATATTATGTTTCATTTGCAGTACCAATCATTTCATTGCCATTTGTTTTCTTTCTTTTTCGTCCATCTTTAAAGGATTTTTTCTCAATTCTTTCCCGTTCATTTTTTACTCTAGGTTTAAGAGTTGTGATTTCATTTTTTTTTTCTCCTTTCTCATTGACTCGTTTTGATACTTCATTGGTGGGATTATTATTTATTAGGAAATTGTTAAGGAGTAAATATTCTTTATTGTTGTATCCAAACAGATTTGCAAGAAAAACTATTTTTTCAGGAGTTGATACAAATACCAGCCTAGATTTGTCCAT